ATCTAATTATTAAGTAACTTTTGATAATTAAATCAAAACAAAATATCAACAACATAATTTCTTGAAGCAGTACATAAATTGTACAAAGGCATCCAAGTGAACGACATATTTCAATTTATGAATTAAATTAGAATTAAGGCTTTAATTAAAATCAAAACGAATTTTAGATTTTTACCAAGGCAAAAGTAGTATTTACATATTCTAATTGCATAAATTATAACAATGATACTAAGATCAAAATAAACATCTATCGTCATCTATCGTCTCTGTCACCGTCCATACCTTGTGGTACAACGACTGCGTAACTTTGTACTACTTAAATCATTTTAACAGACAAAATGTGACAAAGAACGAAAAAATCAATAAAACGAACATGTTTGCTCTAGTTGAGATGAAAAATATTCTATCATATCAAAGATAGCGGTCTTTCATTAGCTAAATACTGCTCAACGCCTAATTCTTAAAAGATCAAACAGCGCCAATAGCAGATGTGTTATGTATCCTTATGTAGTTATCGAAATTGATTATCCTGACATTAATCTTATACTACAAGCTTGGTTTGATTTAGTCCCTTTATGGAATAATGCTGTTATTTTGAACGTAAAACTAGTCCTCTACTGCCTCTTAATCATATGGCATTGATACTGTTGAGATGACGACAATCTCGTGACACTGGCATATTAGAGATATAGCAAAATGGTTTTTACTTACCCAAATATTGCTATGTGGCGTTTAAAGGTAAGCTATACCTGAAATGATATAAGAGATTGATCTAATCAATATTCATGTTATAGAGAGATGTAAGGTCAAGTAATAATGTCATTCATGTAATAGTCAGGGGATACTGTATTCCAAGTTATTTTTTATCACGGGTTATTTTCGTCCTTTATTATACACGATTTCGCCTCGTGTTCGAATCGTCATCTGAGGATAACAAACAAGTGTTATTCAAGTGTAACAGATTTTCGCCCACATTTTTAATTAGCACACACTGTTCATGGACGACAAGGGTAAAGTCTGCATTTTCTCGTTTAAACAGTATCAGTTTTATAATGATAATTGTTAATAGTCCATTATAATAGTCATATGTTACGGTTATTATCAAGAATTACTAGATATACAAATTTTAGTAATTATGTTACGGTTATTATCAAGAATTACTAGTTTAACAAATTTTAGTCATGATGTTACGGTTATTATCAAGGGTTACTAGATATACAAATTTTAGTAATTATGTTACGGTTATTATCAAGAATTACTAGTTTAACAAAGTTTAGTCCTGATGTTACGGTTATTATCAAGGATTACTAGTTATACAAATTTTATGAATTATGTAACGGTTTTCATAGCGGATTATCATTAGTTAATTACTGCTCAGCTGCTAACTCTTAAAAGATCAAACAGCGCCAATAGCAGATGCGTAATGTATCCTTATGTAGTTATCGAAATTGATTATCCTGACATTAATCTTATCCTAAAAGCTCGCTTTGATTTAGTCCCTATATGGAATAATGCTGTTATTTTGAACGTAAAACTAGTCCTCTACTGCCTCTTAATCATATGGCATTGATAATGTTGAGACGACGACAATCTCGTGACACTAGCGTAGGTGTATTCTAAATATGTCAGCAAAACATTTGCTCATACATATTGAAGGTGACCAATTACTAATGTTGTTCTTTCGGTAACATGACCATGTGGGTAAATCTCTCTTTGAAAGCTGTCGGAAACGTGACGGGAAAAAATGCTAGGGCTAGACCTAAAGGCTCGTCCACAAACGTGACAACACGTGATCAAAGAACGATATTGCTTCATATATTTTATTTTCGATACATGTACGTAATCTCAAAAGGTTGCATATGAAAGAGACATACATGACTTAAGGTTCAAAGAAGTCTTTGGAGTTAACTGACGGAGGACCATGTTTCGTTCTAAAGTTGTAAACCTAAAAGGTTTTTGTTTTTTTCTAGAAAAATGATAATTATGAAAATGATAAAATGAATTTACTGTAAGATTTACGCAAAGTTACCAAAGCTCCAAAACAAAAAATCTTCAATGTGAATACAAGGCCTTGTCAGCTGCAAATAATAAAAGTCATAATGACTTAACTATCATGAATATCACAGTTCCAAAACTAAATCACTCTTTATACAAATTATGAAATAGAAATATCACTGAATAATGAGTAAATTGTGCTTATTACAAGTATTCATGTATCCTGAAAGATCGGTTAACCATCATGTCATAACAGTATTGGTGTTGTCGGTTGTTAAAGCAGAGTATCGTAGAATAAATTTAAAAGGTCAAGGTTATAGATATGAAGGAAATATTTACACGCACAATATCAAAACGTAAATGATAAATTAATACTGTTGATCAGGCGTAACGATGAAAATTAACTCGCTTTGAAAACATTCAGTCGATATTTCTTACTATATTACAGTATGAAATATACAGCCATATTCAAATACATATTTAAGTGTATCTGCATGATTTTGTGTACAACTTTGTCTGAGAACCGACAACTTATCATGCCAAAGTACCCACATACGAGTATTATCATGCCTAAGTTCCTACATATCATCATATCACAATACCCGCATATTATCATGTCTAAGTTCCTGCATATTATCATGTTTGAATTCCGACATATTATCATGTCGAATTTCCCACATATTATCATATCACAATACCCGCATATTATCATGCCTAAGTTCCCACATATTATCATGTCAACGTACCAACATCTTTTCATGTCTTAGTACCCACAATTATCATATCTAAGTTCCCATATACCCATGTAGTATCAATAAAATGGTTAAATATAACTGATATTAAAAATGAAAACGAACGGATACCACCTATCAGAACAGTCTATTTTGTTAATATAGAAACGCTGTCGTATTAAATACAGTATTTTTTGGCGGCCTTGTAAAGTACAAAGACCTCACGTCCTAATTGTCATTAATGACGTTGTTTACGAAGGTTAATGCCTTCAGCGGAGAACCACTGACTACATTTTTTATGAATGAAATTGACTTATCCGCATTACAGAATGGTACGAATCGATCGTGTAAAGAACTCCTTGTAAACATCCAATAATTCATTCCGGTCTATTTTGGTCCATTAAATGTTTTTTTTTTTTCAACATTTCGGTGGTGATTTCCGACACCGGGACATGTTGACATTGCTTTGACATTTCCGCCGATTTCAGGTGTTGATTGCAATATATATATATATATTTAATTCTAGTGCTAACATAAACAAAGAAGCATCCGCATGTGTATGACCGTATCCTGTACATTAGGTCTAAATGACATAAACAGAACCGAACAGAAAAAAATAACAGGTATAGCTACTTCCGGTTGTGAATGCGATAGGTAGATACGGCGCCTTTGTCATGACCATCACGTGGCCAACAACACAACGTACATGGCTTAATGTATTCCACTTCCGGCACTTTACATACGTTTCTCTATATAATGATCACTTATAGTAAATACTATTGGTATATATACAATGTATGTCAGAAAGTATTGCTACTTGTGTGTATATCATGGTCAATGCAAGAATTCGATTTGGCTTGGAGTAGTTCTTACTTGAGTTATGATCAAAGGTGATAACGTAAGTTTGATTTACTTAATTTTTTTAACACAAACATAAAATTTCAGTATGTTTTATAATTATGAATTGTCTTTAAAAGGACTACTTAATGTTTCTAGCCATTGTTAAAACGTTCAAGACAACTACCCAACCCAATCATTGTTTGAAATGTATGGACTACAAGGGAGAGGTTTTGTAAAGGCATTGCCAGTTGTTGCCTTATTTCCGTATATCTTTTAATTTGATCAAATATTTTTAATGAAATGAACACAAACATTATGTTTTCATATAATTCTTAGATGTTTTTGTGTTCCGATAAATAAATCGCAGGGTACACTTTTATTAAACAATATTGAACGATAGTGTCTATGAAATAATGTTTACCCTAAATATCATACAAACAATATACTTGTTACTTTGATGGACGAAGGTTTACGGAATTCGATGAAGCAGAAGGCGCTGTCTCTTCCGGGACGCCTAATCTTATTCTCCTTGTACTTTTTCATGAGTTTTCGTGTAAATCTTTCTTTCGTTCATATTTTGCCCAAGTGTTATGAGATTTGAGTTCAAATCATGGTTATTTTGCCATGTTGTGTTTTCTTATTTATGTTTTATTAGTTAGTGTATTTGATCTATTTGTAGCATCTCAAAACTTTTAAATAAGACAATTACGATTTATTGAAATGCATCTTAATTCTTATTCTTAGTCTCCTCCTCCAATGGTAACATTTATGCCCTAAACATCACTGACGCGTCATAGATGGATGAAACAACAGTATGCTACTATTGATCTCATTGTTTGGTCTACTATATCATAACTAAATTTGAGTTAAGTAGAGCTATTCACTTTGTCTTTGATATAGTTTTTTAAAACTCTATATTGACCCTAAAGTTATAATTGTCAGGTAGTGTTAATGACAGTTGAGTATTCAGAGTAATAAAAACATCAACATTGAACGTAAGATTCTGCATATTACACAAAATGCTTGGTAACTACAGAAACGTGTGTGATTCTGTACTTACTTTTGAAGTTGGACGTGTTTGATGCTTGTTAATTTGGCCAATTGGCTCCATTGTTGTTTGCCTCTGTCTCATATGAGAACGAGACATTACTTGCATGAAATATACATGGCGAGTGAAGCAAAGGATGCTTGCTCTTCCACCTGGTTCCATGTTCCTTTGTCAGCAGCCCCCTTTTAGAGCTGTTTTTGTTCACATTTTGTCCAAGTTTTACTGAATATGAGTTTGAATTATAACTTTGCTGATATGTTCTTATTTTCTAGACGTTTTTCGTATAAATTCAACATGATGATTTGTGTATTCTGAAATATGATATATAATTCTTATGATTTATATTCTTTTTCATTTATTTCAGAAATAACGTGACAGCCTTTAAAATGAATAATAATACACTTGTTAACGATATGGCTGTAGCAAAAGGCCAAGAGGAAGATGAAGTCATTGACGATGAAAATGAAGATGAAGAAAGAGAGCCACGTGATATTTTCTGTCAAATGGGGGTATTGCGTCATTACGACGAAGAACTCGTATGGAAAGAAATACGGAGGTAGATTTCTTCTTTTTAGAATTCTAATTAAGATATATATATGTTGTCCGAGTAATAACTGCTGGAACACTGGATATGTTTTGATCAAACTTTAAAGAAATGTTCAATTCAAATTTGTTCCTGTCATTGTGTAGCTTATTTCCAAAGAATAATAAGACCAACTTTTATCATTTAAATAGTTTCATAACCACAATTTTCTAACCATTTCTGAATTTTTGCTTGTACCTAATTTTCAAAACCAAATATTCTGCTAATTCTTGTGGTTAATATTTTCAAAGCAATATTGATCAGAGGGAAATTTTGACCACATGAAGCAAAAATAAATGAAATATATAAGAAGTTATTTTATTGAAGGTAAAGGTCAAAAGGTCAGAGGTCGATTTCCAATTTCTAACAGTATAGGAAATGTTCTATAGGATGAATGGAAATTGATGAAAATCACAGATACCTGATTAAACAAATGGGAAAGTATACATAGGTAAAACATTTCTCACTAATTAGAAATAGTCAATGATTGATTATCAATTAAAAATTAGCATTGACGACATTTAAAGGTGAATAATGATTTATGAGCAGTTAAACTATCAATATAAAACAGATAACATGCATTAATATCCATTTAATGTGCTATCGTAGACACAACAACAATATAATTTATCAAGGTTATTCAAGCTAGCGTAGGCAGGGAGTTAGATGTAGATAATTTGCTCGCCCTTTACCGCAGTGTCAACTGTATTTATAACAACTTTACCTTGCGTGATACATAAGTACAGCTGGACAAACAAGGTACTACAGAATGTGACCGCTCTTACTATGACTATTATTTATGACTGTCAACCTCTCACAACGTATTTTATGGAAGCCATCTCTTAGCTATGTTATCTTATGCCTTCTTTTTGGTATAAATTAATTAATAAAATAGGTTTAAACAAAATAATTATTATGTACATCTGTCTTACCGTCCTGCGGACACACATGTAGTCATGAGCCAAAAGCGTGAACACCAATATATAGTTTGAGGTGAGTGAACACGTCTTATATATTTACCATGTTATATTTGATCCTATCGGTTTCAAAATTAAAAATTTTAATTTCTACTTAAATTGGACTCAAAGAAACTACCAAATAAAATCTGTTTCATTTGTCCATGTATTGTACCAGATTCACATAGATCTGGACATATGAACACATCCTTTATAGGTTCTGTAAGCGGAGAACATTAACATCAACTTTAAATAAAAGTAATTAATTTGCTCCATATTTGCAAAATATAAATCGATTAAGATAGATATCGTGTATGATAATTATCAAATAAATCAAAATATGACATTAAGGTATTTTTAGCAGATCAGATTTGTTTTCCAATTTTTTCTATCTTGAGTCCACGCAATTGTCGTCTGTTGAAAATAAAAAATCTCAAACAAGACCAAAAGCGTCCACTGAGTGATTTTGATAAAAATATCGCTTCTTGACTACAAATTGATGATTCTTAGAAAGGTCACAAAACACACTCCGTGACAAATTAAGAATGGCTGCTACCTAGTGCGAAGCAAAGCGGGAGAAGAACAGAGCTTTAGGAGATTTTTTATAATTTCTTAAATATGTTGACAAAATCAATTGCTTCAATATGATAATGTTTTGTATCTTTTAATGTGTTGCAAATTGAATTTTGCCTTAGTAATACTGTTTGGTTGTCCTGTAATTTAAATGTCGGACTTTATCTTGAATTGAGTTGCTCCGGAGACAACTTCAACATGAAAGGAGATACTCTTATGTTAACAGCATTTACAATTTTTATACTTCATAATATCGAAAGTACTCTAATCACAAAAAATAACCACCCCATATTAGTTGCCCAGTTGTAAAGTGTTGCTTTGAAATTTAAGAACATAGTCTGTGAGAATCACTCTAAAAATCGTGTAGTCTTTACAGGACCGAGGCGATGTAAATAACAACCATACTAAACAGCAATTTGTCACATAACTCGCTGAGAGCAACAAAAGGTCACGATTAGGGTTCAGAATTTGGACAGAATTTGGGGTTAAATTCAAAGGCCAAGGATGATTTATGCCGCTTTTCATCATACAGTTTATAAATAATTCAAATGTTTAGTCATTAAAATAATATTTGTTCTTTTTTATACTAACATTCTGCATGTTTTCGGAGGCTAAACTTGATGCTCTGTCAAAAAGGAATGTCACGTGACAGATTGTTTAACTGTTTTTCAGATCACTTTTGCTATCATCTTTGTTCTGAAAATTTGTTGGTGAATGCTGTTTTTATGACCTGTGTGGACTGACAATCGGACTACTCATTTATTACCATTTCCTCTAAGATTTTTCACGTGCATGGTAGTTAGTATTTTAGACATAAGTTTCTGGACAAAAGATGTTTTCTAACACAAAATGTAGAGCTGGTCGTTCAGTGGATTAACCGACTGTTAACGCTCTCACTATAAATTGATATATGCGTTATTTTGTGGTTGATATAAAGAGACTGCAATTTCAATAAAGTATGCAAAAAAACATGCGCTTCCAATGTTTAATGAGAATTTCCGTGGTTTTTACCTTTAGGCAATCCTCATTTATATAATTTTTTACCTTCAGGACGTAGAACTTCAAATAAATATAAAAAATGAAAGCTATACTACGATAAGCCTGAGGAGGATGACCTTGCAATATGATGACAATTTTTACAATGCGTATGACTAAATGATATATACTTCGTCACCAATAACATTTAGTCATTGAGTGTTAATTAGTAATTAGCGACAATTGTTTGTGTAACATGTTAGGTGTATAGCCTACATGGCTCATTAAGGAGGTTCAAGGAGAGAATATTTCTTATCTAGTTTTGTAAGTTACTGAAATAAGTGGAAGTAACTTTGCTGAAAAGAACAATAAACTGCTCTATTAGTTTATATCGTGTGTAAAGTTTCCCGTTTTAGACATATGAAAATTTCATTTACTGAGTTATGGGGCTACTGAACGTCAATATCTATAAGTTTGACATTTCTTTTAATCACTTTGGATTTTCCTCAGTCACCTCTTAGATTTAACATTTAGGCCCTTGGAATCTTTCACCAGTCCTAGGACAAAACTGCAGTATGATGTAGTGTGATTAATTGTATAGCTCTACTCTGTCTCACTCTAAATAACAATAAACATTATGTCTCATAAATCTCCCGTGAAACGTTACGATTATGCATATGCTTAAATGATTTTCTTGTGGTTTTAATTTTTTTTTTTATGAAATTTTGTAATGATAAGTTGAGTGTTTACTCATTTTGTTGTAATTCATAAAGATAATGCCAACTGTATAACTATCATTTCAGAACGCTGACATTCGTCTCACTGTAGAAATATTTTTTAAAAATTTCTTTTCAGTTGCCACAGACACCTCCTAATTGACACAAACATTAAACATACTGCCTTCAAACACATTTTTTCTGTATATAAGTATCAGTTTATCACAGTTTTGATACTATTTGTTTTCTGTAGGTGGGTAAAGTTCGAGGAGGTCCTGGAAGAGAAGGGAAAGCGATGGTCAAAGCCGCACGTGTCTTCACTCTATATGCAGAGTCTTACAGAACTCCAGCTCCTTCTGGCATCAAATCCTATCTTTCTCGATCTGGAAGTCGATAACATGTTCGAACTTACAGGTGAAAAATATTGTAATTTTAACACTGTGATAACATAGGTATGAGAGAGAAAAATATTCGTGTCTAGATAGTGTATTTTCCTTAAAAATATTCGGAATTATTTCTTGAAGCCAAATACAAATGTATCCGAAATACTCAACATTGTGTTGAACGGCTATCAATATGGATTTCTTCAACTGTATTTTGAAAACGAATTTGGAAAATATGTTATTTGGATGAAGGAAGAAAGCGTTTCATATTACACATACGTACAACAATAACCAAAATTACACAAGATATTGGCGTGGAGATTTTCAATAAATTTATAAATTACGGCAAATATACATGCTCATAGCATAATTCCTTACATCTCATATAATGGAAAAATAACTTTTCATGATATTCTTAGATCCCAAAGAGTAATATAAACATAGAAAAATAATAAGGAATATATTTATTGTTACAGAAACTTTAGTAGCCCAATGGTTGAAAGAAGGCTACCTAGAACCAATTTTGACGAACCATGTACGCGCGCTCCTTTTGAAACGTCACAAACACCACCACGTGCATTTGAAGCATATGACGCGCAACACTCACAGTAAATTGCATCTCATACTGTACGGCGGTGGCAGCGAGGATGACAGCACTCCATCCACTCCAGACCTCAGGGGCATCGACAACGGTAAGTTAAAGTCTTCATCAACTAGTCCAAGGTAAGGACTGAAATATTTGAACATATTGCCTGTTATTATGTCAGCGTTAAAAATATGAATTTCTATGTGATGTCGATGGAAAGGTTTTTAACTTTAAAAAGGCAAATTATGAATATTTACGTATGACATCCGACACCACAAAGAGGTAATTTATTAGGTTCATCCAATATATATACTTAGGATAGATATAGAAGAAAAGAGTTTCAAAAAGTCTGATTTTCAATAAATGTTTCAAGATAAATAGAATACATGGTCAGTGTTTTATAATATAAGCTGTATTTAAGCTCGGGACAGAGAGACAAATGAGGCTCAAGGCTCGCAACTTTTGTCATTCTCTCCCGAGCCAAAATACAGCTTATATTTCAAAACACTGACCTTGTATTGTAATAAATTTGCTCTCTCCTTAAAATCTTCCTTTACCGGCAGCTAACAATCACACCAGATAAACAAATAACATCAAACACATCATGCGATACTTGCTTGATTTTATTAAGAATATGGTAGTGGTTTACAATGATATCGCTATGCTTTGGTAAAAAATTAATTCTACCCAGACAGTTGTGAAACTTTTAGATATATATTATGATCACATATGATCAGTTTGTAATACAATTCTGTATTCATGTGTCACTTGATTTTACAGAGGCGATGAAGTCGAGTATGCCAGATCTCACCCAAATTGAAGATGCTCTTCCCAAAAATGAAAATTCTATGTCATGTCCAGACCATTTGTATCAACAGGCACATACACCGAAAGCTAGCCACCATCACCACGCTCATCTCCTACACCATCATGGTCATGGACCGGTACGTCATCAATTAATATACAGTGACTGCATATTGTCAGTGTACTGTAAATGCTCTCATCTTATCGTAGAATGTTTGAGACCATTTCTTCAGATATTGAACCATTAAATACTTGTCATGACATTTCATCTCATTTTTTAAATTACCGATCTACATAATTTATCACAGTGATATTTCTTTAAATAGGAAAACCATATGTATTTTTTTCATTTGTCTAATATATAAAATTTGGTTTAACATCATATACTACTTCACACATAATTTGCAAATGGTGAATGGACACATGTCGATAAAAAAACCTAGCCTACAAACGTATAATGTCGTTGAAAACGTAATATACAAAGCAAAGTTTGTAATATGCAAATATGTTGGAGTGAGATTATAGTTTGAATTTTCCTGCATTTTTAGCCAAACAGAAAATTCCTTCGTAAGATCCCGGTGGGAGCAGAAGTACTTAACATTCTGGTGGGCGAGGTAGACGCTCTTGATTCCAGATTGGCAGCATTCGTACGGTTAAAGAGCGCGAAAGACCTAGGTCACATAACGGAAGTGGCGTTACCTACACGATTCCTTTTCATCATGCTGGTGCCCAAACGATCCTTCGAATCCTCTTCAGAAATCGGTCGCTGTATGGGAACGCTGATGACAGACCCGGTGAGTAATTCTTGTTGATATAGGTAAAGCGTCCAGTTCCTGCCTACACTCATAGTACTCTAAGGAAAAAATAAATTTGTAACCCAATATTGATTTGCTGAAACAATAGAGTATCTTAATACTTTATCTAGATTCTGCTTTCCATCCTGATTATCATTTTCAATCACGTGGTCACGTATATATGTATGTCAATAAATCTTCAGATATATACGATGTCATATTGACCTCGAGAAACATTACAGTGCTATGTCATATTCATATGACGCAATTCACTAAGGAATTATCTCCCTTGATTTGCAGTTTTTCCGTGAGACTGCATATATGTGTGATGACCGAGTAGAAATAATGACAGCTGTACAGGAATTTGCAAGTCAGGTGACTGTGCTGCCACCTGGGTCCTGGGATCCTAAAACCCGAATAGAGCCTCCTGACACTCTTCCAACTAAGGTAAAGTTTAAATTAAACATTATGGTCTGCAGGGAAGGAATGTGATGTTTTACGAATAATTTGCCTGATTTATCATTAATGAAGTGATGTAAAAATGAATTTAAATAGTTTGAGTATCAAACAATACACTACATAAGAATTCCGCATTATTTTCTTTCGTTAAGTGAATTTCAAAACAAGCAACCTGTCATTACGAGTGTGAGTGCAAGTATTTGATTTTTAAGATGATAATAAATTAAAACAACCATGGAGCACTTTTCTGGAGGACAGATTAACATTTTATGCTTTTTATTTCAGGAATCTCGAAAGAAGGAGGTAGTGCCAATCGACATGCCTTTTCAACCAGAGGAGGTCCATCATGACGACTCGCTTAACCGGACAGGAAGGTAACAATAGCATTACAAAACCTTTTGTCGTTATCAGTTTAAGCATGAAAGTTTCCAATATTTCAAAACGTATTAGTCATCACATCTTTGTTCTATTGCGTTAATTAAAGACGGTAGAATGATTTCAGCTAGGGAAGCTAGCGAACACTAAAACCATAAACACCTGCTCCTTTGCATAGAAACGACGACTCCTTATGCGAAACTAGGATAAAATATCTAGAAAATTATTATATTTACAGCTTGAAGCTATGATATGGAATATCGTGTTTTGGGGTATATTTGCAATGTGATTTTTTTTTTTACGAAAATTCTCAAAAAAACAACAAAAAAAAAAAAAAAAAAAAAAAAACAAAAAACAAAACAAAAAAACAAAAAACAAAAAATGCCTAATATACACAATTACAAATAATTGAGCAATAATAACAAACGCGTCAGTGCTAGACATGATATTGGTCGTGATTCACAACCTCGGTCCTGGTACACAAACTTTGCGAATCTGCTTTTACGCATCCATCGATATATAACATATATATAATTTCATGGTTTTCATTTCTTTTGCGATTTTGACAAGGTCGTTAATCCTAAAAATAACAATAATAATAGGTACGCTAAAACATTCCAGATATACTATACGAACCTGTGTAACCGGATTTGGGAACAATAGTAAAGCTCGTGTGAAACTCAAATATAACATTTAAAACATTCAAATTTTTAGATTATTTGGAGGTCTTATCAACGACATCAAAAGAAAAGTGAAATGGTACAAGAGTGATTTCACTGATGCCCTTCATCTCCAGTGTGTTGCCTCTTTCTTCTACCTTTTCCTTGCCACGCTGACACCCAATGTGACGTTCGGAGGTCTTCTTGGTGAAGCTACACATCAATATATGGTAGGTATCTGTTGTATTGGTATATTATAATGATGAGGTGGTTCGCTGCGCTGCAGTTTGTTTTGACGCTGTTTATAAATTTTCTCCAAGGTTTGTCGTAACCTGCAAGCCACGTTTTAATACATTCAAATAGTTGCATGGTTCAGAATATACACAATGTCATGTACTTCAAGTTTTGTCCAAATTATCTGATAGATGAATATTACAAAATTGATTTAGTTGTGGCGCTAATGCACCTCCTCATTGATATTTTTACTTTTCTTTACATCACTCTGAATTTTCCTCATTTGACTCTCCTAGGCTTCCAAATTTAGGCCCTTAGCACCACCAATGAGTCCTAGAAGGAAGAAACAGCTGTATGATGCAGTTTGATTCATTGTTTGGCTCTATTGCATCAAACTCTAAATTTGTATTTAAATGTTTTATTCATTTTTGTGTTTTTGTACAATCTAGCTTTATCAATAAATATATATATTAATTCTTAACTGTATTGACACTGTAATTTTTACATTTATTCATAATACCACCAAGAAACTTTCCGTTCATATCTGGTGTGTATAACTTTTGTATTACATCCCGCATGCACGTTATATAACATGACCATTACATTTGGTCATCAGCTATAGATGCATGCTGATAGCATAGATCCTTATACCCGTTGTGGTGTTTCAATTTGACATGTTATCTGATATGACAATTGTTTCGCTGTAATTTCAACACTTTAAATATTTCGGTTCTATCAAATAGAGTGATATAAAAATATATGTTTTCACGAGTAACAAATTAAGCATTTAACTAGACTTCAGAGAATCATATAACCAATTACGTTTATCTACAGGGTACCATGGAGTGTATTCTGGCAGCTGCGGTCAGTGGGGTGTTTTTCGCTCTGTTCTCTGGTCAACCGCTCAACATCTTGGGAAGTACGGGCCCGATGTTGATCCTGGAAATGATCCTCTATAATCTCTGCAGGTACTTCTTATTGACTTATTTTGACTGGTAAACAAACAGCATATTCCATTCCATAAGCTGTTTGTGAATACAACAATGTATATATATCTTGATAACATTTAAGAATAAAAATGATGAAAATTATGGGGACGGTTTACGGTCGTCATAGTGATATAATTTATTTCTTAGTGTAATATGAAACTGGACGTGGTTGATGTTCGTTTATAACTTGTTCTCCTTTGAAAAGAGTGACAATAATTTTTTGTATTGACCAAAATTTGCATAGCGGATTTCTTTTATGAAACAGAACGCTTCCCGTACACTAGATTTTATTTGCTTCTGTGTAAATCTTTCTTTTGTTCATATTTTGCCCTAGTTTTACTTAACTTGAGTTTAGATTATGATTATGCCCTGTGTATTTTTCATTCGCTAATAGAATGCAGATATTTCATTTTGCGATATTTTTTTCATGTTGCAAATGTTTGAAAAAAAATTGAAATTAATTTGAATAAACGGCATCGAAATTCTTTTCACAAATTGAAAGTAGATAGCAGGTGTAACTTGCTGTGGAGTCTAACATTCCCATATCATATCACGAATGTTGCTCAAAAATCATGTGAACAAACGTTGTTGAATTTCCTTTGTGCATATTAATTTCAGCAATGAAACACACTATCCATAGGGTATCGAGATATATAATACACACAATACAAATATTTGTTGCATCATAGTTTATGTCACTGCACTGAAATACGATATTGTTTTGTTTATTTATTTGTTTAAATCTTTATTTATTTTATAATTGTAGTGATAATGGTTGGGACTTTATGCCAGCACGTGTGTGGGTTGGGTTGTGGACTGCACTCTTCCTCCTCATCATGGTGGCCTTTGATCTCAGTTCATTAGTTCAGTACATCACTCGCTTTACGGAGGATAGCTTTGCCTGTCTCGTCGCCCTCATCTTTATATATCAGGCTATCGTAAAGCTCCTTGAAATACGAAAAGACGATCCAATAGAACTTCATCCAACGCCAAGATTGGATAACCAAGGATGTGTCTGTTTCTATGGAGATTTTACACCTAATTCTACTTCCGGAAGTCTGGGAAATGATACACTTGTTGATGTATTTTCGACAGTTAAAAATGCTACCACTGAATTTTCTGCTGTTTTTGTGAATTCGAGTTTCTCTCCTCTACAACCACTGACTGAGAATGTCACCACTTGGATGGACCAATGCACGCTAAATGGCGGCATTTTGAAGGGCGATGGCTGTGGTGTCAGCCAATACGTACCGGATGTATTCCTCTTTTCTTTGATTTTGTTTCTAGGAACCTCCTGTCTCGCTTTCTGTTTTGTTCGATTCAGGAACAGCCTGTTCTGTCCTACAATAGTAAGTATGTCGAAAAGTTTCAAACTTTAATTTGGTTGCTGATCTATCGAGATAACAAGAATTGACTTTTAAGACATTCATATTACGTGTTGTTGGTAAATCGATATAATAAGGCTTAATTATTAGGACACTCATGTTACATATTGTTGGTAAATCGAGATAGTAAGGTTTGATTATAAAGACATTCATGTTTCCTGTTCTTGGTAAATCGAAATAATAAGGCTGAATAACTTAGACACTAATGTTACAGGTTGTTAGTAAATCGAGATAATGAGGTTTGAATTTTAAGATATTCATGTTGTCTATAACAGCTTATCTTTCGAGGAATATTGCGTTTTACTGTTATACGCAATTGAAATACGGTTGTTGTCCACAGTAACGTTTGAATAAGGTGTGTTATGGACAAGTAAATAACTAGTGAAATATCCTAATATGATGTAACTCTAATGCTGAAGTCACAATAAGCTACTAATGATTGAACGATATCATCTGAAATTCTGGGAATAACTGGGAACTATTGTGTTTTGTAATGATGGGGAAATATTACTGAATTAGATTTGATATTTCATCGCATGCAACACAACATTACAGGTGAGACAAACAGTCAGTGACTTCAGTGTTTTACTGGCTATAGTAATCATGGTCGGTCTGGACTACGGATTAGGACTACCTACACCAAAACTGACAGTGCCGTCGGAGTTCAAGGTAAAACATAACTATCAATACTTTATTATGAGTAGTTTTTTTATTTATTAGCTTTGCCAAGGAGAAATATCCTGGGAGGAAATCATGAAAATTATCAAGTTTCTGGTTGACAACATCTTCCTTGAGTTGAATGAATACTTTCATGATGTTATAAAGGTGGAACTTATGTACAATTATAAACACACAATATCTGAGTTAGAACTTAAAACATGTCAATATGATGATAAGAAACTGAAAAAGGAACAAGGAGAATGGAGCGAGGTGTTCCTAAGAGTAAGCGTCTTCTGCTTTATCCGTCATGCAAACCTTTGTCAGTGCATATAAGCAATATCACATACTCCAATGAGAATAAGGTATACAATAATGGAACCAACAGGCAAACCAACGAGCATCAAGCATGTCCAGCAAAGATATAAAATATTTCTCCATGAGATCACTATGACGCCCGTAAAACTTCCCAGTAATTTTTATTGAACAGCATCTTTCGAAACCCTGTTTCACGAGATGAACCGTAAGTTGACGACTTTTTGCACGAATATCGTGATAATAGGAACATGTCCTTGATTATCGAATCAACTGCGACATTTAATCTTGCATATAATTTAAGATATATGCATGGCGCTAACAATCTGTGAGAAATATTTTCATATCTTGATTACCATATTATCATAAAATAGCAAAAACTCATTACTTTTATTACTTACGTAAAGTAGTTATTGACCATCGCATGTATTCCTCCGACTGAATACACTACATCGAAGTTTCGATGAAAATGTCGACAGAGTTGTGCATTATGATTATAACAGACAGCAACAGTCATACGAGAGTAAGATACCACAGCATAATCAAAGTGCTCATTAGTTTGTTCTCGAATCATGTTTACAGTAAATTTGCCGATCAGAAGAATATGTTTCATTGATTTTTGTCCCTTAATATCTTGGAAAATTACTGACGAGTCAAACAAGGACAAAACGGTTGTTTGATGCAGTTTGATTTAATGTTTGGCGCTGCAGTATACAATCTTAAATTGGTACTGAAAGATGTCAGTTGTCTTTTTGTGACATGAAACTGTGTAGCCTAGGTGAGGCAAAGTTTTGTTCTCATGAACTCTATACTTCTATTAACACATGTTCGTTAAATAATTCAAATTATATTTTAATAAAAGTTTTCATGATGAAGTTAAACAATAAGATACCATCAAGCCAAATGTAATCTGAAAATAAAATTCGGAGAGATTTTTGTTAAGTTCTGATTGTGTGGTGTCGGTCCCAGAACAGATTTATTCATTTATAGTTTTTAAAAGTCGTACACGTCACAGCTTCACTTTCCTTAGTACAAATCGATTTCACTTAATGTTTCCTGGACTTCGACAACATACACTTTTTCAAAAAAAAAAAAAAAAAAAAAAAACCCTTTACCTCTGACTTATCCCCGTTCTCTTAAGGTTAGGTCAGCAACGAGTTTATCTTCCAAATACTGTATACAAATCTCCCTATGCTTCTCACACACAAACCGAGCCAGACATCACCAGATCCGAAGGACACCAAATGTGAATGTGAAATAAAACCGAAATGACTGCCTCGTTATCCTGATTTGTAGAACACTCTCCAACCCTCTGTAATGCATACAGAGAATTAACATTACCGAGTAAGTTTTGCCACACTTTATGGGGAAAGGGCTCAAGATAACTTGGAAAACTTGTGCCAAATCCCTTTGAATTTTTTTCAGTAAAACATACTTAAATAAAAAATACCGAGTAAGGAGTGCAACACTTAATTATACTTGTGTTGGGATATAAAGATTTAACATACAGAACATCATTGAGGACTATAATCCTGACGTTTACTCTTTGAGAGTAACGATATTCCCTATTCGGCCATTTCTTTGAAGAAATATAATGAGTACGAAACCTGAATCAATGAAAGAGAGGTCCTTTATTTGATCGCGTGTACATTGCAATTCGCACTCTGTTTAGAGTTTAGAATAGTTCTTATTGTCTTATCCTTTATGTTTCTTTCAAAATTATCGTGTGGTATATCAAGTTCTGCATCTTATGTTGTAGCCTACACGAGAGGGGCGTGGCTGGTTCATCAACCCTATAAGTGACACCAACCCTTGGTGGCTAATGCTGGCGTCTGCCCTTCCCGCCATTCTGGCTACCATCCTAGTTTTCATGGACCAGCAGATTACATCCGTCATTGTAAACCGATCAGAACATAAATTAAAGGTCAGTAATCATCACGACCAACAACTCATAAATAACTTGTCAGCGCTCGGAAGAAATTAAAGCCAAAATATCATTTCACATCACCATCGCTAAAGTGCACTTCCTTAAAATTAAGATTTTTTAAAAATTTGATTTCACACAGCAGTCCTCTAGCATAACCGTTGAGTTCTAGAGGTTGTCAAATATTCAAATTTGGCCAAGCTATTTTTTAAAGCTCGTGACTGTTTGAATCATTATCTACATTTTTTCACAGAAAGGGGGAGGATATCACTTGGATCTCCTTGTGGTAGCAGTACTCATAGTGATTTTGTCCCTTTTGGGATTGCCTTGGTATGTCGCAGCAACGGTTACAGCCATTGCACACGTGATGAGTTTAAAGAAAACTTCGGAATGTACCGCACCTGGAGAAAAGCCGAGTTTTCTAGGAGTCAGGTGAATAGATTTTACCTATACTTATTGTATAATATTACTTTGTATAACTTATGGTGCTTATTGTTATATTATAGCATTACTTTATATAACTTATGGTGCTTATTGTGTTACATTACTTTGTATAACTTATGATACTTATTCGCAGAAATTAATTCACGATATTTTAAAAACATTGTTTGAGACGAATTATTCGCTTGAAGTCGACAGTCAAAGTTGTAGTTTTAAAGATACCAAAGCTATGTTTGAGCATGAAACATCGTTTCTCATCAATCTCGCACGGATATTTAAATAATGAATGATTTAAGGACTTAACAGCTGTGTGATGCAGCTAAATTTATTTTAGGCTCTCTCTCTAAAAGTGAATTAAAAGTTGTTATTCACAAGTTTGTTTTTGCACAAACCATACAGATTACTGAATAATAAATCAAGACTAAATATAGTTTACGTGATCAAAGGATACTTTTACATGTATGATATATAACAAAAAACAGACTCCTGTCATCTTCATACGATTGTCAAATATCACTATAACAGATTCAGAATCCTCAGACATGTTGAAGTCTGCATCAGTAGAAGAGTCTTCGTGTCTCAATATAAAATAATTTATTTTCATTTGGGATTTTATTTCTGTTAATTTTTAAGGTACTTTAATTCCACGAATGTTTGTCCGTTATCTGTAAAACTGAGTGTAATAAAAATGAGTGTAATAAGATTGATTGAAGTATAATCAAGATAAAATGTCCACGAAAAAGGATGAAAAGATAAAAAAGAAGAAAAAAACCAAAATAACAAAAAACAAAAACAAAAAAACAAAAAATCCCCCAAAACACGAAAATTATGCTCCACGAAAACATAGGATTTTAACAGTATATTGAAAGGTTACAGTATATCTACATAGTTGTTCTTTCTGAATAGAACTGTGAAACACTTATACTTCGCATGGGATTTATTTTCGTGTTTATATACGCGAGAATCAATCGCGAATTCAAATCTATCACGACTAATTTTACAAATACAGAAAAAAAAAAAATAAAAAAAAAAAAAAAAAAAAAAAAAAAAAAAAAAAAAAAAAAAAAAAAACAAAACAAAACAAACAAACAACTTTGGATGACATCCATGATAAGTCGCTTACCGATATCTGAGTTTTGAGGAGTGCATGTCTCTAACAGCTCATCATTTGCAAATTTACTTGTAGATCAGCATTCATGAAATCGTGTATTCGTAAATATGTCTGAATATGTAAGTCTGCGAAATAAAATATTCGCGAAATCTAGGTAGTTTACAGTATATGATCAAGAATTAGTGATTATTCTAACTGACTTATGTTTACAGAGAACAGAGAGTGACTGCACTACTGGTGGGAATCTTCAGCGGTCTGGCTGTTCTTATCACCTCTATACTAAAGGTTATTATATAATTTATAAAGTAGATTGCCTGCTTCTATACACGATTGTGAAAAGTCAATATACAATGTAATTGAATCTTCGAACGATATTTTCTCAAATGACACTATCTTACTTATACTTTTTGAACGTATGCATTGTGGAAAACGTCATTAGGTGGTAAAATTTTGGAGAAAGGTTGAATTATGAAAACATGTGTCGTTACTACAGAGACATGTAAAGGGTTATTTTACTTTGATAATTCAAAGTCATTTGAAACTAATATATATGGTATCATCAAACAAACTTCAGTTTTTTATATGTAATTTTTCATGGAACCTATTGCCTTGGCGCTTAGCATTACTGAAGAATGAACAGTTGTATGATGCAGTTTAAAGATCTGCTTTGTATGTCTAAATTCACTTACGACTTGTGTACAATTTTATCGGTATCGTATCTAATTCTAAATTTGTATTGAAATCTATTATTCACCTCTGCGTCGTTTGCACAATCTTTGAAATGAAACATTATTTATACTTTCAGTATATTCCTATGCCTGTTTTGTATGGTGTTTTCTTCTACATGGGCGTGTCAGCACTGAACGGAATGCAGGTTAGAAAGCCAATGCTCTTATACAGTAACATACTTGAAAGAGAAATTATTGGTCAAATGTGTAAGACATGAAAAAATACATTTGAAAAAGGCTCTTTTGTTAGATTTATCAGAATATAACATACAATTTTCCGAATTTAGATATTTAATAGTATGTAGAAAATGACTAGAAATCTCAAGGGAATTGATGGCCTACAAAGTCATGCGAGTATGCTATACTTAACAGATTTGTCATTCTAGTATAGTTACATCCATATTCTATAATTTAGCATTTAACTTTTAATTGCTATATAACGTAAAGGCTTATTTTCGAGGGCTACAATTTTCTCGGTTTTCAATGAATAAGGTAGATAAAGAAAAAAAATCGAGAAAACGCGTCCTTCTACTTCTATCTTTACAATCTATTCAACAAATAATCCAATCAGAATATTCTTGCTTCCAATGGGTCTCAATGTTTTATATTGATTTTTTTTTTTATTTTCAGCTGGTCGAGAGAATCATGATTATGTTTATGCCACAAAAATACCAGCCCGATTACAAATACCTTCGTTATGTACCCCTTGCCAGGGTACACTTGTTCACATTTATCCAAGTTGTGTGCTTGGCTATCCTGTGGATTATCAAAAGTGTTAAGGCCGTCGCCATCACGTTTCCTATCATGGTATGTCATTTCATTGTTTAAGAAATCCAAATTTCTATTACAACATTCGGAACCGTTAAAGAGTTTTATATCAGTATATTGCATGTTAAATATGTACAGATATATGTTCCTTACGAAATCAAAGACAAGCAACACTTATTCGTCGACGTTTTGATTACTCCAGTATAAACAATAACCTAAAGCATCTATTTCATTCTTAATATCTGTTCGTATAAAGTTACGGTCGAACTTCGTTATTTCGAGGTGGGCGGGGCCGTTGAAAACTTAGAATTATCCGAGTATTCAATTTAAGTGAGATCGAATGTTTGGTGAAAAGTTTGTCCGGGACACACCAATTTAAACGGGGTCTTCGAGTTATACAAGTGCGCGATAACGAGGTTCGACTCTATACCCTTCTCAATTTTATATAGCAAACACTTTTACTTTAAAGATAAACAATTATACCTCCTTTTTAAAATGTGATATGTAAAACAAACAAAAGATATGTAGGTTTCGTCTAAACTTAAAGACTTATTCTAAATTATCTTGTTATTTACTACCAGGTCTTGGCAATATGCTTTGTGAGGAAGGCATTGGAATACGTGTTTAACCAGTATGAGTTGCAATGGCTGGACACCTTACTACCAGAAATAGGCAAATCCACCAAGGTAAGCATTAGTAGGTAAATCCATCAAGGTATGCATTAGAAGGCAAATCCACCAAGGTAAGCATTAGTAGGCAAATCCATCAAGGTAAGCATTAGTAGGCAAATCTACCAAGGTAAGCATTAGTAGGTAAATCCATCAAGGTATGCATTAGAAGGCAAATCCAACAAGGTAAGCATTAGTAGGTAAATCTATCAAGGTAAGCATTAGTAGGCAAATCTATCAAGGTAAGCATTAGTGGGCAAATCCACCAAGGTAAGCATTAGTAGGCAAATTCATCAAGGTAAGCATTAGTAGGCATATCTACCAAGATAAGCATTAGTAGGTAAATCCACCAAGGTAAGCATTAGTAGGCAAATTCATCAAGGTAAGCATTAGTGGGCAAATCCATCAAGGTAAGCATTAGTGGGCAAATCCATCAAGGTAAGTATCAGAAGGCAAATCCATCAAGGTAAGCATTAGTAGGCAAATCCATCAAGGTAAGCATTAGAAGGCAAATCCACCAAGGTAACCTACAATTCACCTGTGTCTTTTGTACTGTCTTGAGTGAATTTATATTTAATAGAGACATCGAATTTCTAATGTTGATATCTATATAACAACATTCAATGTTTTATTCTTATCTCAACAGGACAGCCCAGAAACCACTGCACCAGCTGTTATCGCCACAAAGATCAAATTCGCCAGGTCTTTATCAGTTCCGGCATCCTCCCTCAGAACCGGAAGTACGTCCATACGAACCAACCCAGACGGTGGGCAACGACATTCGTTTGCAAGCCGAAAAATCTCAACTGGTTCATCACAGGCAAGCACAGTATATGGACATCATGTTTGCCAAAGAAAAATATCCATTCTTTCGCTTCCGGTGAATCCAACTTTTGTGTTAGATCACGGGGAGCTTCAGCGCGTGAGGGAGGATAGAAGTGTGAACTTTGGTTTGGACAATCTGCAAGAAGTGTAGCAGAAATTTTACAATATATTGAACAGAACCTACATAGCGATTTTACAACTGACTTTCATTGATTTTTGATATGTGTATAATGTACATTAGGCAAGAGACGCAATATTGTATGGCCGACCTCAGAAATTTGAACGTAGTGACACGAATACAGAACAATTTGAGTGAAGACGAGAAGGTTGGTCATACCTTTGAGGATGAAATGGTGGCATATCATCTCTCGACTCATGTATGCAAGACTATATGTTTATATCATAAGCATACTTCAGTTTTAAACACTGGCGTTAAAATGGCACAGAAGTGCAGCTTGATTCAACTCTAACGCCGTGATGCTTTTGCATATAGGAATACCAGTCACAAATGCATCAATCATTTTAAAACACTGACATTCAAAAAAGGACATCTTTTGATGATTATTTCCAATTGCTGTGAATAAACTGGAGGAGTATCCCTTCAATTAAATGTATAGAACAATCCGACGTTATTGTGCTAATTATATATATGCATTATGTCGTGTATATAAAGTCGATGTTATTGTCACTTCGTATACATATACGAATGTTTCGTCCGTCTCGGCAAAGACTCACGTAACATGGTCCTATCGAGACCTTCCTCGAATACCATGGAGCAATGTCATGTGATAAGCTGATTTGTGGGGAAATGCAAACGGGTTATTCAGCAGTCTCGTATTTAAACCGACATTACTCAAAGCTAGCTTAACGTGATCGAGATCAGCTCTGTTCCAAACCAAACACATGAGTACACGTTACGTGAGAAATGCGAATACAACAATTTGATATAATATGTGCAGAGACAAACAAACGAGGCGATAAAATTAGACGATGGAACACCTGTGGGGCCATCAATTTAGTCAAATTATGATACGTAGATAAGATGGCGAAGGATGCGAATGGTCTGTTTCCTTTTTTTCTTCTCTTTCGTCTTTTTCTACATATTGATTTCGTCGATTTTTTTTCAACATAAATTGTTTACACTAAATAAACCTTAAAAATAAGAACCTTCAATAACAACCTGATTTGTATGCTATAAATACATAACGATGTAAAGGTTGAGTATATCTTAACACATTTTAGAGGAAACTTTCCCCCTAGTTGTGAAGATCTAGTTATCGCCGGTGTGTTTGACCGCATTGCACTTACAAGAACAATTGTGCTAAACGTTGACAATAATACAATTACCAATCTCTGAGACAACACCTACGAACAGTCTTATTCAAGGTACAAATGCAACTGTTGGTTTGGAACAGCATGACACGTATTCGCCAATTGTTTGTGCTATAATGTTCCAATTCTAAAAATGACTGAAAGTGAAAGGAGTGTCATAACTTTGATCAAAATGGAATCATCCTCGTCCCAATCGATCAGACTTTAAAGCCCTGCGTTCCAACATTATCCCGTTAACTTTTATATTGACTTAAGCCTGAATAGCTAAGATAAAGATATTGAGAAATTGTAACTCAGGTGCACACCATGAATACAAAAAAAAAAAAATGCTACTAAGTCAACATAATCATAATCCAAACACAGATCAATAAAATTATGTCAAAAAATGAGCAAAATGATTTATACTGAAGAATTCTGAAAAAATACCTGAAGAATAAGACCGTATGTTCCGGAAAAGTAAGAGTCTTCTGCTTCATCGAAGACACCCGCCATGGACAATCCAAGCAAGCAATTTCACGTTTTGAAATGAGAACAAGGTATATAACAACTGAATCAACGAGCTAACTAACGAACACCAAACACACCCTGCTTCATATAACAGAATACATAATAAGACCTCCCGGACGGCCGTGAATCTTCCTCATCATTTTCATCAACCTGCATCTTTTGAAATCCCGTGTTTTGAGTCCATAAGTTGACAGCTTGCAAGAAATTCGTGATATTGAAAAGATATTAGAGAGAGTTGTATGAATATTTCTGGAACGCCTTAACTTAATTCTAGACCTCCATAACTTATTTCTGGACCTCCATAACTTATTTCTGGACCTCCATAACTTATTTCTGGACCTCCATAACTTATTTCTGGACCTCCATAACTTATTTCTAGACCTCCATAACTTATTTCTGGACCTCCAAAATTTATTTCTGGACCTCCATAACTTATTTCTGGACCTCCATAACTTATTTCTGGACCTCCAAAATTTATTTCTGGACCTCCGTAACTTATTTCTAGACCTCGATAACTTATTTCTGGACCTCCATAACTTATTTCTGGACCTCCATTACTTATTTCTGGACCTCCATAACTTATTTCTAGACCTCCATAACTTAATTCTTGACCTCCATAACTTATTTCTAGACCTCCATAACTTATTTCTGGACTGCCATAACTTATTTCTAGACCTCCATAACTTATTTCTAGACCTCCATAACTTAATTCTTGACCTCCATAACTTATTTCTAGACCTCCATAACTTATTTCTAGACCTCCATAAGTTATTTCTGGACTGCCATAACTTAATTCTAGACCTCCATAACTTATTTCTGGACCTCCATAACTTATTTCTAGACCTCCATAACTTATTTCTGGACCTCCATAACTTATTTCTAGACCTCCATAACTTATTTCTGGACATCTAAAATTTATTTCTGGACCTCCATAACTTATTTCTGGACCTCCATAACTTATTTCTGGACCTCCAAAATTTATTTCTGGACCTCCATAACTTATTTCTAGACCTCCATAACTTATTTCTGGACCTCCATAACTTATTTCTAGACCTCCATAACTTATTTCTAGACCTCCATAACTTATTTCTGGACTGCCATAACTTATTTCTAGACCTCCATAACTTATTTCTAGACCTCCATAACTTAATTCTTGACCTTTATAACTTATTTCTACACCTCCATAACTTATTTCTGGACTGCCATAACTTATTTCTAGACCTCCATAACTTATTTCTAGATCTCCATAACTTATTTCTATATCACCATAACTTATTTCTGGACCTCCATTACTTATTTCTGGACCTCCATAACTTATTTCTACACCTCCATAACTTAATTCTTGACCTCCATAACTTATTTCTAGACCTCCATAACTTATTTCTGGACTGCCATACCTTATTTCTAGACCTCCATAACTTAATTCTTGACCTCCATAACTTATTTCTGGACTGCCATACCTTATTTCTAGACCTCCATAACTTATTTCTAGACCTCCATAACTTATTTCTGGACCCCCATAACTTATTTCTGGACTGTCATAATTTATTTCTGGACTGCCATAACTTATTTCTTGACCCCCTTAACTTATTTCTGGACCTCAATTTATTTCTTGACCCCCTTAACTTATTTCTGGACTGCCATAACTTATTTCTTGACCCCCTTAACTTATTTCTGGACCTCAATTTATTTCTGGACCTCCTTAACTTATTTCTGGACCTTTGAATGATTTGATAGCCCTTCATCCTAGCACCCTTTTAATTAAATATCCTATCTCTAAATTTTAATTATATATAAGTCTTTTGTTAATACATATGGTCCATGTGTATCTTGAATTTTGAAAGTGGTTTGAATGAAATTTTGACACCAACCATTGGTATAGCAAATGTTTTTAGGAGGGTATGCTTTCAAAAGAGGGTCCAGGGTGAAGCCCTGTTGGGGGGTCTGGGAGCAAAGTAAAATAAAAACAAAAGTAAGAAAAATATCTCAATGAAATTTGAACATACGCTTAAGCATTTATGCCTACATTATTGCTACCCAACTGCCAACCAATAGACGACCGATAATTGCTCTTCAGGCAGGTAAACTAAAAGATGTCATGAAGATAAAAGATATTTTAGTTTTATTTCATTATCAAATGACACTGCAATGTTAAATGACAATAAGTGAACATTCAGACAACATCTGACTATAGTTCTACTAAACATGTATAACAATATCTGTTATATAAACATAACAATTTCTCAATAACAATCAAAATATATCTAATTTTGTGTATGATGTTTTTTATTATTCAATTAAATACTACACAATAACCTTACAGAAAAGCTTTATAAGAGACGATCAGTTTCCTTTATGTAAAGCTACACCACAGTGAAAATATCAATACTTACTCAGCCATTTACTAGAAATCTTGTTATATACTGGTTTTTGAGGAAAACAATAACCACTAAAAAACATCTGCAATATATGGATTGTCAACTCTTATTCACGTTCCTGCTATATCAACAAGAACGTGGAGATTATTGATTGTGTATGTCAGAGTTATCGCCCCTGGTTTCTAACAAGCTTGGGGAGACTACCAGTAATCATTTTTCAGTTTTCTTCCATTTCTTTAAAAAAAAATTGGTCTGTCAACTTTTAAGTGAAACCTTTTGCAGTTGTAAAATTAGCAGATTGACATATGATAGAGCATGGAGACAGGCCAAAATTTATTTTTGTTTATTTTTAATTACTTTTTAAATTTGATTTTTGTTATTTCAATTACTTTTACCTTCATCAAAATCATGACAGCTGTGCATGTTTCCCTTAAACTCCCACAAACAGTCTGCCAGTATCATCTATATCACGACACAGAGAATCTATAACTACATAATCAGAAAGAAAATTGGTTTATCATGAGCAAGACATTTTGAATTCTAAAAACCATTGACAATAAAACAACTGTATATTGTGTTACTCCATCATTTCCTTGATTACAGTACTTTTGTATAATGTATGTAAGCATATTCAGTACATAAAAGGTAAAATATACAATACATATTTCATACAGTACATGTTCAATACAATAACACATTAATTATACATGGTATTGTAAAACAGGAATCGAAAAGACAAAACGTCTGTCAATGAAGCAATTTACAACATTATGCCAATCTAAATCATCTTTCACTTCAGACTTCTTTCCTGTTCAACAGGTTAACACAGACCCAAATTCTACAGTGTTTACTGACAGTTAGGTTTAGTTTTTGTTGCTTTACACCCTTTTAACAGTAGGGTCATTTAAGGTTAAGCCAGTGTGCAGTCAGGGCCTGACTATTTTCCAACTTAGGTCTTGAACCTGGGACCCGGAGGTGGAAGTCTTGTGATAAAGACTGACAACTTTAACACTCAGCCACTGCAGCCCATCACCGACAGTAAAAATCCATGATCTTTACTACATCTTTTCAGACATGAAACGTTTTTGTCTTTTTTTCCTGCAGCTGTAAAACAACCTTAAAGAAACCTGCTATCAACCAAACACCAGAATCCAGCCCTACCCTCCTCTCTCATGTATAATACATGGCATTTATAATATCAAACAAACACCAGAATTCAGCCCTACCCTCCTCTCTCATGTATAATACATGGTATCTATACTATCAACCAAACACCAGAATCCAGCCCTACCCTCCTCTCTCATGTATAATACATGGCATCTATAATATCAACCAAATGCCAGAATTAAGCTCTAACCTCCACCTTATAAATGTATTAGGAACATAAAACAGAAAAGACAAATTACAGATCCTATTTGCAACTTTAAATTATTTTAGTAAGTCTGGTGTTGATAATTATCTACATTCTCTATAGGATAGCATCAGCCAATATTCTTATTGACAGTTTACTCAGTAGCTGGTAATTGGCTTGGAATTTAATGTAGTAGATTTCAACTGTCATAGGCATTCTGTCATAATAATTCCAATAAAGTCTTAATCATTTTACGCGAAGTTGTTGTCTTGAAATAATTATACACAGTAGAAGCTTACTATTTTGAAAGTAATAAATTGTGAACTTCGACCCTTTAACCTTGTCTTTTACATGAAAAATTAATATCAATATTGAATCAGAGGTGAAATATAATTATTGAAAGATGGTCATATTATTGTTTATTCTGAAGTAAAAACGACATTATCTCTCCGCTACATATTTTACAGAGAGGTGTAATCAGACAGATATACTGTATTTTCTTCACACGTAATGATGCGGAGCAGTGAAAATAATATGTTTAAAGTCAAGAAATAACCCAATACTTGAAAGAAAAATTATGTGTGGATACAAGAAATTTAGTTACTTCAAACCCTGTCAAAATAAAATAATACCATGATTACATACAGAACAGGAGAAAATTGCCTGAAGTGAGGGGACTGTTTTGAAATGCTTTTGGAGAATTGAGAATACTAAACGATGAAGGTGAAGATTTTGATCAGAGGAGACAGCCATTGCACGACTAAAAAATTTATTGAACATTAGAAAAGAACTGGCCAGCTTTCATACAATAAAGCTGGGCAACAGAAAAAACATTACTACATATCAGACTTCAAAGAATTCTACATACATCAGGTACATGTAACTTTATGAAAACAAATTTTAAATGAGTATGTCACGAAATTTTATTTTTACTAAAATATGAGCAAAATATCCTAGGAAATAGTGTCTACTACAGCAATGGAGGTAGCCTTTTCTCATAAGACTGATTACAACAGCATCTTATATATATTATCTGACAGAATTCTTGAAACATCTTATGATGTGAAAGCTTATCGTTCTTGCATTTAATATAATTTCATACAAAATATACATGGAAGTATTCTATATTTGGCATTAAGCCCATACCTGGTCATAAGCCCACACATGTTTTATGTCAACCCCTTGACTTCGAGTCAGAGGTAATGTCTGGCTTCCTGTAGCTTATCACAGGAAAAACATGATACATGTACCAGGTATTTCTGTTTTGCTTTGTAATATCCAACATTGCACACAAAAGGGTATTTCATATTTGGGGGTTAGTCTTTTAGAGGCTATTTCATTGATAAAAAGTCATAGGGTCTGCATGTGTGTTTGAGCTTGAATCCATTCATGATTTTTGTATTTACTAAAAATAAACATAGTTCCAGTCTACACCATGAAAACCATGTAAAGTAAATACAAAGCTGAATTTTCGTGTTATACACAGAAGCTGGACTGTAAGTAAATGATAACAAACACTACAACAGCCTGATGAAACTGACTTCTCCGTCACATTCTGATATCAATATTAACAATATGCTGTTTCCTCATCTCCTGATTCTGACTTATAAATCTGTTGGTTCCTTCGTTTGAACTTTTTAGATTGAGGGCTATCTTCACTTTCCGAACCATCTGCGCGTTTGCTTGTATTCAACGCGAGGCTGTTTGTTTTTCGGGTAACCTCAGAGTCACTTCTTTCATCACTACTTGCAGGACTTGACTGGGTCAAAGGTCGCAATGACAGAGTTGGTCCCGTTAACTGATCTACAGACAAAGAGTGTTCTTTTTGTGCTGCCATGATGGCCTTGAACTCATCTTCTTCATCCTCATCCTCATCAACACTCACAACTTTTGTCCTTTCTGTGGATTCTTTGTTATCTTTTTTCTGAGCTTCTATAATAGCTTTAAATTCTGCCTCTTCATCTGACAGAGAAATCTCGGCTGGATTTGTTAAGATACTTGATGATAAATTTTTAACAGGATCACGAATATCATAAGAAAGATCACCGGTCGTACCCAAGGACATGATACTGTCTTCAGCATTGCCAGACGAAAGCAAGCTACTATAGCTCTGATCACTGTCTACAAAAGACACAAAACTAGGCTCACTGTCAAATTCTGTTTCTTCATCGTCATCTACATCGTCATCATCAGCATCACATGCCCCTTCCCCAGAGACGTCCAGAAGATTACTGGAGTCTTGTCCAAGAAAAACAGCGTTTGGGTCTGTGATGTCAAGCATGGCACACAGTAGGGTAGTTTGTGGGTTTACCATTGTCACGGGAGGGTTGACTTTACATTTGCCTTGGTTTGGGTCAAACACATCAACAGTTTTTTGGAAGTTGTCTGGAATTAATAAATCCCCACCGAAATCTTCCAAAATTCTGTTTTCTTCTTCAACAGTAGGTTTGAATTCCCATCTGTAAAGACAAAATCACAAAAAAAATTATTGATACATTCTTTTTGTTTATAAAAACTACTGGATACATAATGATCTTCATAATAAGAGGGTATATTCAACATAGATTTCATTCCAACTGCCTCTTGGATGTACATTTTGTTAATGCTACAAACATCTGGTCTGTGGGTTGTAACAGTAATCATTTCCAAAACAATTATCCAACATTAATTACAACTTACATCAGTAAATATAAATCTTATTCATTCACAACAATTGCAAAACAAGCTATCAGTTTTTATACATATAAAACCCCTCTTGTTGGTCCGAATGGAAGCATGTGAGGGGTGTTACTGTGGAAGAAGCCAGTGTGCTCAGGGAAAACCTGTGTGGTTGGGTAAGTGACTTGATATTTTACACAACACTGTGGGTAATCAAACTCTAGACAGCTAGGTGAGAGGCAGAAAATTGCAAGTCTGAGTTATTTCATAATGACATTTGAAGAACAGTACACCCTCAATAATGTGGACCTCCGATCCCTACCGAAATTACTAAGATTACCATTTCTCCAGAACTAGTGTATTCAATCATATATTCTCTCCAGAGTTATCTCCCTTGATCGTATAATAATAAAGATGTCAGGGTGACGTTTGTTGTTTCATAATGTATATACCAAATTTTCTGATATAGCTTTCATCACAAGTGAATGTTGATAAAAGCCTACCTTGACTGGCTGCCTGGACCAGGCATGTAGATGTTGCCCCTTTTTAGACTGAGTAAGTGATCAGTTAGTTTGAGGATACTGAGCCATTCAGTGTCTAGCTGTAGCTTTAGAGGCTCCTGAGGGTCGTGTGGTATATCCAATATCTAGAAAAAGATTTGCACATTTTTTAGATCCTTATATCATGAACCTAATCTGTATCTAAATACACCAAAATCAAGATAATTTTACTACAATTTGTGGACAAGGAAACATCATATATAAATTTCTACCTGACTATTCTGTACAGAAACTTATTGTATACAATATGTAATTACTACTGCAAAATGTAACAAAATGAAAATTCCAGGATACCATACCATGTATCTACAGATATAGTAAAAGCTTAATTGACACTGTTAATCAAAATTCCCATTCTTTTGCAAGAATTACAAAATATTTGTGGAAGTTTTTTTTCCTTGAAATTAAAAAAATAATTGGTATGTGCGAGATAAAATATTGTACCAGATGTCATAAGAATGATAGATTTTTACCTGGTAGTTTATGGCAACAAAACATGCTGATATATTGTATATCATCTACAGCACAAAAACTTGTTAATTTTACCTGTAAAAATTTTCTTCGTGGTAAGCACTTGTCTAGAGACAAGAACTTGGTAATCTTCTCTTCACCGTTGAGAGCCTATAATCAATGTCAAAAATCAAAATATTGGTGTAAAACTTTATGCTAAAATAACACCTGTTCAGGCTAACCATTGGGACTTTACTGTCAATGTAACCAAAACAGGGAAAGACATGGGGATTCTGCTGTAAACATTTCTTATCAACTAGAAAATATTTATACATTGCATGACATGAAATCCCTGTCTTTAATCGTATATATAAGACGCAAGATATATTCTATATTTTTCAACATTGACTGACTGGAATTGGTTATCTACCATTACTTAAAACACATTTAATGACTATTTAATTTAAATTACAGGTATCTTGTTTCAATATATACTTCCTAATTATACAGACCTTGTGTTGTACAATGGCCGCAAACTTGACATGAAGATGTGCCGAGAACCAGTATTGTGGTTGTAGCTTCATCAACAATTCCTCTGCTGGTGGACTTCCCAGGCTTCCAGATTCAATTTCTTCACGTAGGAACTGTTTAGTTTTCAGCAGCTGTGATGTGTTCCCGTAGTCATAGATACCACGTGGCCAATCATGTGACATCATTATGTCTATGGGTTTTGTCAACTATAAACAGAATAAATATCTGTATTGTAGTAAATTATAATATACAAAACTTATCTCCCTTTAAAAGACTTTTAAAGGAGTAAGTGAAAACCAATTTCCTGATTGTTTTCGGTCATAGATCGCATGTTGCAGGAATCAAAGATGGATTCCCAACAGTGTTCGATGGAGCCCCATCACGGAAGCAAGGACATCAAAGATTGAGCATCTACATCTGGATTATGTAGTTTTATTATAGGTAAACCTATGCCCTCCCTTTAGTCAACAAAATAATGACAAGAATATTACCAAGCTAGATAAATAAGTTAATGATTTTCTACCATTAGTCATAGTGACCTTGCTAACAGACATATAATATACGATTCATACATACTATGTATCCGTGACTTCCTTCTCAACCTGTGATTCCAAAGATACAATAAAATCTAGTCCAGCCAGAACAGTGCACTATTACAAGATTACATCATACTCAACAATGGAGTTATGTTTGGTTCAGAATCCTTGTCACAATGGAGTAGATAATGTGTTTATTTACACACAGGTATACAGACAATGGCTGCTACAAAGTTCAGGTAAAAAAACACTCTACCTGTTTTAGTCTAAACACTTCCAAGTTACGGATATGGTAGGCAGCTCGCTTAGATTCTTCATTATATGGAGGATGTTCAAAATGGCCTGTCAATTCAGAAAAATATTCTCATTGTCATTTCAAGTTATTCTGATGAAATTCATCTTTACCTTAAAGAAATGAAATCTTTCCACAAAAAACTCACAAATTCACAATTCTTGTTTGACACTAGAATAATTAGTTTAAAGGTTCTACATTTGGAAAAGTCTACCGTGATACTTAAATCAAAATCATAACTACTAACACTCTTCACATGTTTTTTACTTGCCATCACACAAAACCAACATTTTCAGAAACTTGTTTAGTTACCAGGGAGCTCTTACATGGAATCTTTTACCAAACGATGTGAGAAATTCTACTTTTAGCTTTTAAGAAATCTGCAAAGACATTTTATATGGAATGATAAATCCCTGTTGCTGTATTTGATTTACCTGTGTTATGTACTTTGTAATTTTATTTGTAAATATTGCATATCATCTTCCTGACCTTATGTAAAACAAGCATATTGCTCAACATGTTATCAAAAATAAATAACGCCTATTATATTAAACAAAATTATCAACAAGAGGCCCATGGGCCTTAACGGTCATCTGACATAAAATACAAGATTTCAAATTTTGAACTTGAGAAGAAGTCGAAAAAGTGTTTTCAAGATGGCAGCCATGTTGGATTTCGGACCAACCCGAAATTAACAAACTTTGGTAAGGATCATGTCACGATCATTTCAGGTAAGTTTCATTTCAATGAGACATGTAGAAATTGAGAAGAAGTTGAAAATGTTTACGACAGACGACAGACGACGCCGGACAAAAGGCGATTGCAATAGGTCATCAGACCCTTTGGGTCAGATGACCTAAAAATTAAGTAAAAAACATAATAATGTGTAAGAGAGTAAGAACAGACCTACCTTTGTTGAAATCTCTACCCTTGTAAATCCCGGATATTCCACCTATTCTTACACCACCAAACTTCAACACATTGGCATAGCCTACAAAACAAAGTCACACATACACAACAGAATATCCCAGAACATGTCCATTTTAACATCGGATATTCTCAGGCCTCTACAGAACAAGAACTTAATGAAAGAAAAAGAAAACCATACTGATTACTGGTTAGATATTACTGTTTAAACAATGTGCAAAGACGATACATGCCACATGTAACCAATCCATGCAGCATAAGTATATTAGGAGCCATCCAGCTACCATATCTTGATAAGACTTAATTACCTACCCATGTAGTATATATTAGGGGCCACCCAGCCACCATATGGAAGTTCCTGTAGGTAGTTAGATGCCTCGTGATTGCCTCCGATAAATATAGTGAGAACAGGGACCACTTTCTCCCCAGAGTAATACCTTGGGAACAGAAAAAGTTGAAACTTTGTTAAATTTCAAATACCTCATTCAGTTTATGGTCCATGGTAAGTCTGTCTAAGGACCTGTTACATGACCAAAATTAAAAGTTATTACTTGAAAACATGAATTATTTGGAAATGAACACTGAACAATGAATGTACAGATATACTGTTCATTACATACATTTTATATGACATTGTTACAATATTTCATATCAGTTTCAATGACCACAATAATCCAGATAGCTGTGTGATGTAATTACTAACATAACTAGAGTCTATATAGAATACAGCAGTTGTATCATAATTACTTGTAAAATGTGTTCATTCGTTGGTATTTCTGAGGTACAGCCATACATTGTAGATCACTCTTATTTCTTACAGACTGGAAGTCGCCACATATTAGCAGCAAGTCTACTTTGAAATTTTCCTTCTTTTCAATAAATTCTATTGTCTCATAAATCTTGTCCAGTTCTCCATGACAACAGCCTTCTACTGCAATCTTCATCCTAAAATCTGGGAAACAAATATTGACAATTACTATAAAGGGAGGTAATCTTCTCAAAATAATTATATTCATATGCTTATGTATAGTACAACATGTACATTGCTGTTTATCATTAATAAACTCAGTTCACATCTCAATGTCTCTTTATAAAACATCACACATTTTAGAAGTGACTCCTTGTCCAAATTGGTAGTGCATAACAATACTGAAAATAAATATTTGTCAGAAATTTTTTCCAGTTGGAGTCTTGTACATAATGTAAACATACTTATTTTGGAAAACACTAATTTCTGATCATTTTTGAACAAACAAACACAATGATATATTTAGACCTCAACAATGATTACCTTATTAACAACATACAGAAACTGCAATTATCAAAATCATATTTTAGCGTAGTATCTTTAGTGCATAAAGTGCTAAAATAAGATCACTTTTGAAATACAAATTTTTGCAATAGAAGAAAGGAAAACTACCTGTTGTTGTAAGTAGTGAGTATTTTTGTCTGTTTCTAAAATATCTATGTGTTGACAATATATAAATATATAGCAATAAAAAGGCTCATAGTCAGAAAACTGGCTGCCATTGTTTGAAAGGTAAAAACGGCATTTAGAAAGATTTTCAACCATTTCTTCACAAGATATCAATTTGAAAATCCATGATGGATAAACATAACATTCATTTCTACCTGTGAAATACCAGCCTGTTAACAGCAATAAATTCAATATAGAACAAAAGGTGCCCTTGACAGAATTCTGAAAGGCGTCTTGAACTTTTCTTACTGAAACACCTTTTAAAGCGCTCATTATGTTTTCTTTATGATACTCACAGGACGCCTGCTAATATTGTAATTGAAATGGTTCAGGCTACATAGAATTATTCCAGAATAAACGGACATACCTATTCCCGATATTGCAATTTTCTGAACTTCCTGTCAAACACAAAACAATGAACCACAAAACAATCTGTTCCATTTTGCCCTGTATTGAATATCACAATATTTAGTGAAATATGATATGTGCTTGGCTTTTCTCTTGTAGGTTCAGTCAGTTTAATTGTTTCAACCTCTTACATGAAAATGACCCTAGAGAACTATACTTGATTGGGTATAACATGACATTGTGTGTGAAAGTTCAAAGGCATTTAATTAAAAGATCAACAAAATCAATGAACTGCTTATCAAGTGATCACCTTGAATAGGTGTTTCCTGGAACTTTCATTGCAGTATAGTCTGAGAATATCCATCTCATAGACAAGATAAAAAAAAATCTTCAGTGGGATAGAAACCAACTGTAACTAACCCTTCCCCTTCAAGCCCCTGTGCAAAACATAGTGTAAACATCACTTCTGATGGAGCTCTGTACACATAACCTCCACAAAGAAATGGAAACATATTAAAAGTCTTAAATAGTTCAAATAAACTTGTGATATTCACATTGCACATATCCAAACAGCTACTTTCGATATCTGCATAAATTCATAATCACATTGCAATGTTTCTTTTCAAATTATAACTTGTGCGACACTATACAATAAAATAGGAAGTTCAAATTACATATCAACAGGTTGGGCACAGACCCAAATAGAGGAATTGTCCTCAATTTGAGGGACATTCACTGCTACTGCAATTAGTCACTCAAATGTAGAATCACTTCAAATTCGCACCAAAAATGTGTCTTATTTTTGACACGTGTATTTTCTATTGAGATTAATTGCACTCGCTTTCAGGAGGATTATATTTAGCTCTTGATTTTGTATATATACGCGTATGTTATGAGGACGAGACGACATGAAATTACAGTGTGGTGTTTAGCGTTGTCAATGCTAAACAACATGTAGTCATCAACAGCGAAAACTGGTTTTGTAAATCATAATTGATTTCACGAACAGCAGACCGGTTTTGAAGACATACTCAATTTCCAAAATCTTGAATATAATTTTGTAGCTTACGTGATTTGTATGGAAATGGAGTTAAGGGTTCACATTGACCGGGAAATAACCTAAAAATATGTGCTTATAAAAAGTTCAAATTTGGCTGGCTTTCTCCTCCGGAAGTAGACCAGTTTTCGATAGACTGTGATTGTCGGTTTAAAACTAATTTTACATCAATAAACATGACATTTCATTACCCTATATGACTATATATACCTGTAAATTTAGTATTTATTATTGATAGTTTCACAATATTAAGTTTTGAATTTACCGTAAACCAGGTGAAATAACCACATACTCTACTTCCGGTCAAAGCAACAGAAAGAAATGATTCAGAGTGCTATGGTAAACAATGATTTTATTATTTCTTTAAAAGATATGTTTAATAAAAAAAAACTTGTTACAGAAAAGAATTGTATGAAAATTTCCATTAGTACCAAGCTTAAACGTTATGGGCCTTACTTTTAAAGAAATGTAAAGTCCCTTGATCGTATGGGTTGTAATCGGAGGGATACTGAAAGTAGATTTTCGCTTTGATTAATCAGTTAGTTACTCAAACGCAGGTCATTTGAAATATTAACACATAACATACATTTAAACATTTGCAAGAAAATAGGACGTCATTTTTTAAACATGACTCGATAGCCAATGTGGCACTGTATATACTTGTATAGGAAATGTTCATTTCTAATATCTTACTTTGTAATACAGTGACTGTTTATATCACTGACTTAGTTCTCCTTTGACTACAGTGTGTAACCAATGGCAACATGTAGTGTTTTGGTAGAATATTATGTTACATGATGTGTGTATCTAGAATAAGTTTCAAACACGATTGTACAGAGTACGTAATTAAGAGTTGAACTTGACCTACATTCATTGTTTAGATTACTCCTATAGCATAAGAGGCTGCTGGTCAGCCGTTTTATTATCTGACATTATTGCACTGACTGTGACGGTGCCTATCATAAATTTCTTGCCATATAGAACCTCTAACATTCTTGGAGTATGTTTAGGTAAGAGGGTTTCCTGAGATATAAAATAATTCCAGGTTTTCTCCGCTATTGATTCTGACCACTGTTTACATCAGCTACAAATTCTGTTAGTATGAATGTTCATTAGCAGTTACTAGTTTCAGTGCCTATTACATGAACTATTGTTTAAATACATTTATAGACAAATGGTCTTTTCAGGTGATTTGGAATAGCGAATAATTTCAGAACACATCTATAATAACATGTTTATATATTGATGTCTATTGTGTTCCGTGATTCAGGAAGTGGATGACACAGTTGGATGTGTGGAGTGCTTGCTGAGTGGGGAACAAGAGAAATGGATGAGCTCCATAGTGTATGTATCACACTATTGTTACATACTGCAGTCAGATGTAACAATCTCTTTCGCTCTTTGCATTTCTTTTCCTTGATACTCCAGGTGCTACAATCTCTTTTGCTCTTTGCACCCCTGGAACATATCAATTGAAGGTACAAGCAGAGTAATTTGATTGGTCTAGGGTTAGCTTTAGGAGAAAAAACCTGACCAATCACTGATGTGTTCCTATGAAGATTACAAAGAAGTGACATCCAACTTCAAAGCTAATACAACAACATATTGCTATGTGACCACAAGATTTGTTTGATGTACATAGGAGGATCAAACTAGGGTATTCTTCTCGTCTTATCCGCAAGGTGTCGCACCTGGAACCTTCAATTTTGCCTTGAAAATTTCAGGGGTGCAGAGAGAGATAATGAACATAACCACCAGAGTGTCGAGGATGGGTATGCTTTTACAGTGTATAAAACATTTGGGTTATTAAGTATATATATGAATAGATTTTGGTATATGACAACTTGTAATTAGAAATGATGTATAGGTATCATGTATTGACTGATGAAGTATATTTACATTTTAACAGATGTAAAAAGTACATGTATTTCAATCAGCTGTGCTTTATATATATATCAGGTTGGTTATACTATGTTCCTACATTAGGTGAACAATCAAAGCCAGAAATACATGTTACCAATTTCCTTTTCTGTAAAAGTTTCCAGTTTGATGATTTTGAAGAAAAAAAGGGCTAGATGGAAGAAGCAAAAACAGCACTGAATCCTATTCATTGACATAAAATCCATCATATTGTGGCATTAGTTAATTGTTGATATTTCGAAGTTAAGTGTCTAGGTGTAAGTTTAGAACTATGAATTATGAGCAGAAAAGAGTGCTTACATACTTTGTTTATATTTCCAGATGTTTGAAGAATGGTGTAATCGGGAATAACAAACAGAAATGTACTGTGATAAATCAGGGAGTCATTCCAAGGTAAATAATGTCTCAGAGTTCCAAACTCAATTTCAAAAGATAGACGTAGTTCTGTCTTATTGACCAAAGGTCCTGTCCATCGGATTTTCTGGGGGACCCTACTGTGTATACATTTAATTCAAGAAAAGTAAGGCAGTGTTTTTTCTCGGATTTGTGTTCCTGTTGAGCAAATTTTTTATCTAGATCACCTCTCAGACACATTTAACCGGTAATGATCTAAAGAAATATCACACTATCAAATGGTAGGTTTTCATTATTAGCTTGCCTGGTACAAAGGACCAGTGAGCTTCTGCCATGGCGTGGCAGCTGTCATCTCACTGGCATCCGGTGTCTATCAGTTTTTACTAAAAATTGCTACTAGTTAACAAAAATGCTTAAAGGATTAATATTCTTTTGGTAGTCAACTCTTCATAAACGAAATCATAATAGTAAAATTAACACCTTAATTTCTTCTTTGAAACAATACTCTCCTTTGCTAATTCAATTCAATTTAAACTTAAATGTGCTGATTGATATAGGAATAAAGAAGAAAATCAGATTCCCTGTACCTGTACAAAATTAATGATAGAATAAGAACTTGTGTACAAATTTGATAAGAAATCTAGAAATTCTTTTGATTTTCACATGAAAATTAGGCTCATTCATATGAAATATCTTTATTTTACAACAAAAAATATCACTGATTTTTGTAGATTTTTATGGCAAATCCAGAAAACCATTTTCAATACTTTGACAAGATCCGGTATTAAGAGATATAGTGGGGTCTCAAAATCTGAGTGGGTTCGATGATAAAAGCATGAATCCAAGACTCAGACTCAGAGTCCTAAAAATCACTGAAATATACTGTTGTATTTATTGTGACATTGTTACATAGGCTTCTACAGTGGATGATAGATGATGATGCTGACGTGGGTTTGAGGACGGAGGCAGCCATTGTGTTGGGTAGCCTTGCAAAAGGCACAGAGGAAAATATACAACATTTAGTGGATTCTGGATGTGTCACTGTCCTTCTTAAAGGTTAAAATCTTTTTTGTAATTTGCTCTCATCAACACCTCAGTTCTATCAATGTTGTGATTACTACTGGTATGTTTACTGACCAGTAAAGACACATGTTAGTAAAAACAACTGAGAAATTGCAGAGTTTTGGTGAAAATTGATAGTTATACAGATTGATAAACTGAAATATATAGTGATTCATGTTTAAAAACCTATGAAAAAAATCTTTTCTTAATATTGAAATATACATGTATATGAAATGGTAAGTGACAGGATCAGTTTCCATATTTTTTGCTCACCTGGCTTGAAGGAACAAATGAGCTTATGCCATGGTGCAGCATCCATTTTCTGGTGTCAACTTTTTCCTTTACACAACTTCTTCTCAAAAACCAATGAACCAAATATTTCTATATTTGGCTGGTATGTTACTAGGATGAAGCCAGACAAAGTTTGCAAAAAGAAATGACCATGGTTTATATTCAAAGTCATAGGGGTCAAATTTTTTAATACCTTTAAACCACTTCTGTTCATGAACTTAAAGGCCCAGAAGCATGATAATATATTCCAAGGATGAATCCAGACAAAGTTTGTGAAAAGAAATTACCTTGACCTCCATTCAAGGTCACAGGTATCAAATTTGTCAAAACATTAAACAACTTCTTCTCATTATCTTAAAGGTCTAGAAGTATGATATTTTGCTGGTATGTTCCTACGACAAAGCTAGACAAAATTTGCGAAGAGCTAACCAGACCCGTATTCAAGGTCACAGGGGTCAAATTTGTTAAAGCCCTAAAACAACTTCTGACTATGACCAAAAGGTACAGAAGTACGGTATTCAACTGATAGATTGCTGGGATAAAGCCCGACAAAGTTTTCGAAAAGAAATGATGAACATTAATTACCATGTGAGTAATGTAGGCCCATTTGGCCTCTTGTTTCTTGAGGAATATTTATTGCAATAATGTAGAAACAGGATTGTGTCTTCACCATTTAGAATTGCAATTAACATGTCAGAATGAGAGATGACACCACCATGAGGTGTACATGTTTAATTATTTGTGTTATTAATCACTATTTTCAGGGCTGTCAAACAATAACCTCAAGTTTGTGGAAGCCTGTTTGAGATGTCTACGTACAATTTTCTTGTCCAACAATCCTCCTGTTCATCATGTGTACCAGGTAGGGTATGAAATATACTATATATCCTGCAGTAAGACGACAACATACAAATTCTGTCCTCAAAGTCAGGGTTGGACTTATTGTAGGACAATGACAAATTTTTTGTCATTCTGCTAAACTGCTTCATACAGATTGGCCTATTACCAGGCATGGTCTAATTGTTTGATAAATATACATTTATTCAAGAATTTAGAGTTTCATACTAATCTACTGGACTAGTTTCTTTTTGCAAGAGATAGCTACTGAAGATATTTTGATTTTTCCTTTGCCTAATTTCAGAAAATATATTGATAAAGTTAACATATGTTTACAAATTAGCTACCACTGGTGTAATAGACTTAGGTAAAACATGATGTTTTCAACTATTTTGATGACAAGTCGTAGAGCATACAATTTTAGACAAAGTACATTGTGTTAACTTTGAACAAGGAAACACCAAATAATTGAAAAAAACGTTGATTGGTCAGTCTCATATCTATACAAATTTAAGATAGTTTTGATGTGATTTTAAGGCATCCATGCTATGATTTAATCCAGAATATTTTCTGAAAATGTCTTGAAAAGGTTTTTATGAATGATAACACTTGTAGGTATGGTGTGTCTGGTTTATACAGATGTGTTTTTGACAGGTAGACCCACATCTGGAGTGGATTATATTTCCGGACAGCTGACATTTTTCATGGTTGATATTTCGTTTATGTTGACAGGATGCCACTGTGGTGCCACATCTCATCAACATTATGTCCAAATCTGTGTGCACACAGGAGTGTATCACCACAATATTCGCCAACTGCTGTCGGGTAAGTAAACAAAAAATGATGCAAACAAATGCATATGGGAAATATTTATTACCTACAGCAATGGAAAAGCAAATCATAAAGTCAGTTTTTGCTTCATCAAAAAATATGCAAATGTTTTTTAGATTTGAACTATTTATGATTACAGATGTTCTTAATGCATTTTGTAATTAACTTTCTAATTTTGTCAGCATATCAAATGTTTAGTGAATGGCATTTGGAAAATAATGTTGCTATCAAAATTTTGCATTTAAAATGAAAGAATACACACGTCTTTTTATCTTTCTTATGACAGCATAATGAGCTCATGATTTTATTTCCGTCATATTGAAATCTTGTTACAATAAATAAAAGCCTAACTCTCATCATGATCCGAGTCGTATTATGTGCCCGACCACGTGGGTTTTCCCCGGGTACTCCGGTTTCCTCCCACAATAAGACCCCTCGCGCGCTTACATCCGGGCCAACAAGAGTGATTAGTATAATTTGACATAACTTGTTTCGCAGTTGTTGTAAAATAAATCAAGTTTATATTTAAAAAAAAAAAGTCGTATTATGTTATCATGTTAGCAGGCAAATGTGGTGTCAGCTCAATAACTTTGAGCAGTGTTCAAGTTATCAACTTCAGACTTCATAAGTTTATTACTATGTTAGCTCAGACAAGTTTGATCCCCATAATTTTCGAAGAATAATCCATGAAGTTATAGCCCCTTATTCAACTACCAAAACGTGTCCACCCAATATCGCAAGTAGTTTTCAACAGATCAGCTTCTTTTTTGCACTTTCTGCTTTTTGCCGTGATATGGCACTTTTTTTGCTGTTATTAATTAAAGCTGAAGTAAATCTGTATGTAGGGTATTTAAGTAAAAAAGTAAGGTTGAAATTGTTTATAATTTTGATAGATTGAATACTATTGGATGTTTAATTTGATACATCTGTATATATAAGAATTTGTTGATGTCAGACAATGTGTATATAATAAGTATCCCTGCTAACTTTACAGACAGTGGAACATCAGAATGCTCTGTGTAGGAATAGTGCTATACCAGCTTTAGCTCCTCTGCTTACGTCTAATGTATATAAGGTAAGTCTCCGCAGATGTCTCTTGAAATATCAACTTATATGAGTTTGTCTAGCCAGTTATTTCAATAAAAAATTATTTTGTGTTTGATATACTTCAACAGATTTTGTGATCATGGAAATTTTGAGAAAGTTAGTCTCAGTGACTTAAGACATGGATGATAAAAATGACTTGATGGTAAAATATTGTTTGTTTCACAAAAGTTTATTTCAGCAATATCATTATAAAGTAGAAATCATGAAAGTATGTAGCCATGACAGAAAGTAGGTTTACAGCATAACACTGCCTGCAGATGGGAAAGAAAGCATATCAGCACTGATGTGTGTAGTGTATGAGATGGTGAGAAATCGACAGACTTTTTTGGATGTACTATAATCCTATGTACACTAAAGTTGAAAATAATGTGACAAAATGGTAAAAAAGATAATAAGAAAAAAGTACACATGATGGTAGCAATAGACTTTAATCAATTTGACTGCACTTTGTCAAATGCATGGTCATAGATGTGAAAGATTCTGTGGCCCCCCTCGTCCCTGTTTAATGCTATCCCTCTGACGTGTATCCAGATGGCCTCCTTGACCATCTGCCTGACAAAGTTGTTCTCCCTATCAACTGTTCTGGAATTTTTCCTGTCAATGACGAGGAGGACATAGACTCTTACATAAATGACCAAGTGCTGAAATGAAGCTTAGCCAAATCGGCTATAAAACATTGTTACTATCTTGCTTTCTTTTTTCTATGATCTTTTTACAATCTTGTCACATTAGTTTCTAAATAAGTGTACATAGTACTATTGTACTGCTGAAAAATATGATTATTCCCTACCGTCTGGCACACTTTATACATCAGTACTAATATGCTCCACACTGGTCATTTGTCTGATGGTAACCGTGTAGTCATTGAAATATTTCACTTAAATCTTTTACTGGTTGTGTTATAAGAACTTCTATTCTATTGACATGACCAACCGGAGAAAAATGCTATGAAGTACATTGTTTTTCTCTGTTAACAGGTGCAGATGCCTACACTGAAGTGTTTTGCTGTCCTGTGTTACCAGAATGAAGAGGCAGCTAAAGCTACTGCAGCAGGTAAATCTAGGGGGAGGGAGGGGGAGGGAGGAGAAAGGGGGAAGGAGGGAGGGGGGAAGGAGGAAGGGGGGAAAGGAGAAGGGGGAGGGGAAGGAAGGGGGGATGGAAGGAAGGGGATGGGAGGAGGGAGGGAAGGAGGGGGAATAAGGTCTCAGAAAATCTTAGAAATATATCTAGATATGGTATTAGGTGTAAAATATCAGATCACATATTGGACTTTTGATAATAATCTACAGTCATCAGGGCAATCAATTTGACCAGATGGAACATTGTTGTTCATTTAGAAATTCAGAGAAAATCAAACCTACTGGTCTTATTTTGCGTTCTGACAGGTGTGTAAAAGCCTTTCAAAGGTTGTATTGAAAACTGGTGGGTTTTTTCAATGGTATGTCTTAAGTGTTACATTCAAAATGTTGATGAAATGGCATGGTATGTCTGCTGAAATGAAATTAGCCAGACACTTCTGCAGAATAGTTTTGGTTGTTGACTAATAAGGAATTAAACAACTTACAATATTGAACTTATTTATATGCAATATTTTAAATCATATTCAAGATTTCAAATTCAAATTTTGCTTGTACATGCTTAAAAAACTATTTGACAATATTCATTTTCTCTGCCTTCAGCTTCCTATAATGGGGAGTCCATATCATCCCTGCTGGTCAAACTTTTAACAAGAGACAAGACATCAGAGATGCAGATGGCTGCAGCCAAGTGCTTGACCTATCTTTGTCGTGGTGGAGCAATTACTCCACAGAATCCGATCATCATGTTAAAGGTTTATACTTCCGAACATACATAAAAAAATTACATAATTTAATACATTGTCTTAAATGTTTAAATCACCTGTTTTCCATTCAAGTCCATTGCCACTATCATCGAAATTTTGAGTTTTCTTTTTCTTTTGGTGAAAAAAAGGAATTTTAGAGTCAGATGCAAACATAATTATTCTATCAAAATTTCTCCTTTAAGTAATCACTTTCTTTTGTTATTTTGAATGTCCTCCGACAAGAAAGAAAAATAAAAGATATGCAAATATTTCAAAATGAAACTAGTTAGAATTTTTATGGAGATGGAGGCTATAAGTAAAAAGTGTGTGAAGAACACCAAGAATTAATAATGTAGATTTTACAGCTGTTTGGTTATGAAACCTATAATATTTTTCACTTGATAAAGTCTGAAAATGATTATTCAGAAAATGATATGTAAGTATATATCTGTATACAGACCATGCCAACTCTGATTCGTATGTGTAAGAAAGACCGTACGTTAGAGGAGAATGTGGAGGGAGCTGAGACTTTAGCATTTCTAATCGAGGGCGACGCCCAACTTCAGCAGGTGGCATCTGTGTCTGATCATATCATAAAGACATTGGCAGAATACATTCGTTATACTGATGTACAACAGATCAACACCCGCGCCATGCACAGGAAGGTAATTACGAATCATCAGTGACATGAAATTTACAATTTACAACTGAAAATGATATGTTATCAATTTGTATAGTTTACTTATCTAATAATCTATTGCAAGATGTCAGTAAGTATTTGTTGTTGTTAGTTTTTCAGAAAGTTTTGGGAAGGTAGAATCATTTTGAAGATTTGAAATGGAAAACATATATGTGAAATAAAATTTTAGAATGTGGATATCAAAGAGGAGTATGTTTTCAGGCCCAGGACACTAATTGGAGCAATGAATTAAAACAAGCCGCTTTCAAAGCCTTTGCCTCATTAGGAGCCAATGACGAGGAAATCAGGAAAAAGGTATGGATTCAAAATAAGTATTAATTCAAAATTTTATACAATCGTATGAAAGTAATAGCAAAGATTTTTATGTATCCAGGCCCCACTTGTATAAAATATCTCAATTTCAGATTTCCTCAAGCCCAGATTTTCCTCAGCTAATATCTCCTTGAAAATATCTTGTATGAAAATTCCTCAAGGAATTGCAGGACATCCTAACCGAGGACTTCCTCCTGTTCCTTGAGAAAATTTTATACAAGCCGTTTTTGAGGAGATATCAGCAGAGGAAAATCTCGACTTGAGGAAATCTCAAGTTGAGATGTTTTATACAAGTGGGGCCTGGTTGGTATAATTTTTGAAATCAATGACAATATATCATGAATATACTGTCACATATTTAATTTAATGGAGCAGAAGTAAAAATAAAAGAGATACTTGTGACATTACAATGGCTATATCCTGTTTCAAATTTCAAAGTTTTACTTATTCTAAATAATACAGATTTAACAAGCACAAACATGATAATCTAGTGCCATTTTCATGCAAAGTTAAAGTCTTAGTTAGATTGCTCAAAATTGTGTGTTACAGATAACATTCAAAATCATGCAAAATTTCATTGACCTTTTAAGGTAAAGCTAACATCTCTTTCATGACATGTCATGGCTGATGGAGGTCATATATGTCATGAATAATTGTTATCCAGGATTAATATTGTAAAGAGAAAGATCCGGATTGTACATAGTAGTTATTCTGTTGAAAATTATTTTCGTTGACCAAACAAATATCATGTTACATTTCATAATAATCATTAGAATTATATATCCCCTGGGTAAGCGTATATTTTTTTAGTACTGAGATGAATATATTTGTACATCATTTACATGACAGATAATTGAGACAGAGAACTTGATGGACCACATCATCGTAGGTGTAAGTAGCGAGGACATGAAGGTTAAGGGTGCGGCCATTCGTTGTCTGCACAGCATGTCAAGGTCTGTCCAACAGCTGCGTACAACCTTTCAGGATCACTCGGTGTGGAAACCCCTGATGTCGGTAAGACTGACTTGATTTTTGTAAGCATTTAATTTCAATTAGTCTTTTACATAAATGAAGAAAAAATTTCATAATTGTATATCTAGAATGGAAACCTCAAAGTGCATACATCTTTGGGTAAAGAAGGCTCTTTTTAAGGTAGATGTGAAAAGTCTTCACGTCATTGCAGAATTTGTAGGTTGTTTCCCTTTTTTTAATGGTTATGTAATAAAACAGTTTTGTAAAAAGAATAAAAACTTAACACAGAATCATAAATCTCCATTAGATATATGTGATTATCAAGGATCTGTTTACACTCTGTCTCAGCAGATTATGCAACATTGCCCCGAACACTTAGTGGGCGTCGCCTCTTCTACCATGTGTAATCTACTACTGGAGTTCTCCCCAGGCAAAGAAGTAAGTAGTCACATCTCATTAGATCAAATTTGGTTCAGATTTATTATTGTCTGTTTGCCAGATAAACATATGTGGAGAGGTTTGTGGTTAGAGTAACAACTTTCGAGCAGCGCCACTTCTTTGTAGGGTGATATATTGATATTGATGGATAGGGTTGTAACTGTGTGGACCAGTTGTAGAACCATTCCAACTATAAATCTTATTGAAAGATTTTTATAAAAGTTTCACTTGCCAATTTAAAAGTATGAACATTTTGTCCAACCATTTGAGACACTTTGCAAAAACAAGCTTAATATTGATAAGAAGATTTCATTGTCATGTCCAACATATGAATAGATTTATGTCTTTTCTTGTTAAATTATGTTATTTTCATGCTCTCATTCAATGCCACGTCATTTTTTTTTATGAAAGCACTTGTCACATCAAAGTTTGCCTTTCTGATAGGGAACCATATTTGATGTTTTTGCTCCTCTTTTTTGTAACTTTAAGTTTTCTGATTAACTGAGTTTCTAGTTTTAGTTTATTTTTGTAAATCACCTTCACCAATTTTTTTCGGTCCTAATTAAGGTTAGTCATTGATGAGTCGTTAAGTGATACAAAATATCCTAAACAGGTCCTTACACTCCTGCCAGTAAACAGTAAACTCATTATTAGCAATTTTCTGAAATATTTATGACATATCATCTTATTGGATTAACATTGACACTCTACATTGCCTGAGTTGTTTAGGAATCTGACTGTCTTTGCCACTTGTCCACCATCTCTTGGCCTACAGTCGCCAGGTACTGGCCACAGGTCAGTGTTTTTTCTGCAGAAACTCCGGGTTTCCTTCACCAACCAAACTAAGCACATCCTTAAATGGCCCTGGCTGTTAATAGGAAGTAAAACAACATGAAACACTCAGTCACATTCTTTATTGATGAAAATCTTATCTAATTTCAGTCGATACTGGAGTCTGGAGCTATCGATATCCTAGTGGGACTGACCACTCGCGTGGAACCAGAACTACGTCTCAACGGAATCTGGGGACTAATGGTAAACATGGTTTTCTCCTCTGAGCTACTTCACCACTTTCTGAATCGACCTACCTTGGTCAAAATCTGTATTAACGTTATCCTGAAGTAAAATATCCCGCCAAACAAAATGATGTAAATAAATAAATATTTAAGTATATATTAATGTAGCATTACAAGTAGATGTCTTCCCTGTTTGGACATTTTTAAACCATGTTTACATGCCACAGTCAGGGATTTAAACAGATTATTGAATATTTACATGCAAAAAGATTAGTGACTAGGAGACTGTGTAATCCTGTGCATGTGTAATCACCAAGCATGGTATCGATGAATACAAATATTGGGTTTGGTTAGTCAGAGGTGATCAGATGTGAGCGTAAATGTACTTGATGCTGTTCTAAATTTATTTGCTATATGAAAGTTATTTAATTACGGGGCTGTTGCAACTCTTGGTCTAGATTTTGATGCCACCTAAGCTTCAAAATACTGGCCATTGGCACAAGTGACAAGTCCATGAAGGACCAAACAGCAGCTGTATGATGCAGTTTAATTTATTGTTTGACTCTACTGTATATAACTCAAAATTTGTATCAAAAAGTGTCATTCACTTGTGTGATGTGTACAAACTTTGACTCTACTGTATAATACAATCTTTCAATTGTATCTAACTAAATTTGTATTAGAAAGTGCTATTTATTTGTGTTTTTTGTACTATCTTATAGAACATGGCATTTCAAGCAGAACATAAAGTCAAGACACAGATCATTGAAACGGTTGGAATAGAACTATTGTTCAGGCTTTTATCTGACCCAGATCCAAATATACTGATGAAGACACTTGGACTTATACGCAATCTCCTCTCAAATAAACCAGTAAGTTTAACAGTGTGGATTGCTGCATCACTACAACCTTTACTCTCACATTTCTAACTATGTAATACTGGTCTGTCCTGAGCAATACACCCAGGTTCCCTTTTCATGTATTACACACCGACCTCATGCAATACAGATACGCTTGTGTAGAAATGTGACGTGTCCCTTCCCAGTCAACATCATTACCTGATACAATGTATACACACATGTGTACAATTAGCTATTTGCAGTGGCTGAGATCACAAAATGTGGTTTTAAAACAAAGTGAAACCAGAGTTTTTTAAACAAGTTACTTCCTGTTTGACAAATTGCTAGGTTTGGCTTGACACCAGAATATACCCTCGGAACTAAAAATCGTGAAAGACATCATTGCTCTACTTTCTCTTTGTTTGGGAAGAAAGGCTCATCACAGTGTAGACAGAAATATTCCTTCAATTAAGTATTAATTTATTATTATCTAATGTACAGTATTGTATTAAAGAAAACACCACACATACCGTTGTTTATACTTACAGCACATAGACAGCATCATGAGTGTATACGGAAACCAGATCATGCAGGCGGCCGTGTTTATACTTGAAGGGGATCACACGGCTGATATTAAAGAACAGGTATGTTGTACGCATATCTTATAAACATAAAAAATTCAGTTTTAATGACCAAGAAAGAGACTGACTTTGATGTTTAGACGTTAACTGTTCTGTGGCCTTTTCCATACCTTACCTCTTAGTAACTCTAGACAGAGATCGATACTCTAGGACTGAAATTGGTCAAAGGTTGATATAGATTAACATGATGGATGTTTCAGTACTTTTAACGTAATTTGTTAGTATTGAAACTGTCAAAATTATTGACAATAGTGGGAGTAGAATGGAAACTACATTGGGTAAAAAATTGGTTGATTCCTTTGGAACAGAATTCTAGGTGATGGTGAGATATATGGTGACATTTTGTAGATATAGCTTCACATTTATGTACTGACTAATAGGTATAATGTTCTACCATAACAATAACCATCAGGAAAATGGCAACATGGCAACATAATCATAATTCAACTCAAATTCCATGAAACAAAAGCGAAATATGGACAAAAGAAAGTTTTACTCGGAGACTCCTGAAAAAAGTATAAGGAGATTAAGACCAGGTGTTCCGGAAGAGTAAGCGTCTTCTGCTTCATCGACGACACCCGCCATGTAAACTATAACTGTATAATAACTATATAAAATCCATTTCCTGTTTATTTTCAAGACTCTGTGCATTCTGACAAATGTTGCCGATGGTGATCAAGCGAGAGACTATATTATAGGAAATGAAGATGTCCTTAAGAAACTCACCACCTACATGGTAAGTATTGATTGTGGATTAAATTGAAGTATAATTATCTTGAGAAGGAATGATGAGATTTCGATGAAACTTGCTTATGATACTTGGTACATAAGTCCCTCGCTCAAGTTCGATGTTCGCCAAATTCCGCGCATATTTAATGAGGCTGCTGCAATCTGATTGGCTGAATGTTTTACATGTCTGTCGGTTTCGCTTTCCGCGCGATATCTTGAGAAGGAATGATGGGATTTTGATGAAACATGCTTATGATACTTGGTACATAAGTCCCTTGCTCAAGTTCGATGTTCGCCAAATTCCGCGCATATTTAATGAGGCTGCTGCAATCTGATTGGCTGAATGTTTTACATGTCTGTCGGTTTCGCTTTCCGCGCGATATCTTGAGAAGGAATGATGGGATTTCGATGAAACTTGCTTATGATACTTGGTACATAAGTCCCTCGCTCAAGTTCGATATTTAATGAGGCTGCTGCAATCTGATTGGCTGAATGTTTTACAGAGAATATCTTCTGAAGGAATGATCACGCAGGAAGATCTGAATCATCTCCAGAAATCACTCGCATACAGTTAACTTCCTGTCGTTCTGTGTTGGGCCTGTACGATTCATAAGGTCCAAGGACAAACTCTGGATAAGGTTGTTATATCATTTAGGAAGCTTCGTACAAAAGGTCAAGCATATGTTGCTTTCAGCCGTATAACTTCACTACAAGGTCTCTTTCTTCTGGACTTTAATGCAGATGCTATTAAGACAGATGATGCTGTTACTGAAGAAATGGCAAGACTGAGAAACAAAATGGCAGCCTTTGCTTCTGATAAACTGTCTACTACACAAACAGAAATAGTAAGGATATGCTTCTTTAACACTAACAATCTTGGAGTAGCACATAGAAAAGATGTACAGCACGATCCTTTTATCAATGCATCAGATGTTTTGGCATTAACAGAAACCTGGCAGGAACATGACCATCTAAACATTATGGGATTCCCAAATGTCCTCTCTACTGGAAGAATGGTTGGATATGGTGGTGGATCAGCTGTATGTGCAACAACAAACTTTCACTTGGAGAGGATTCACATGGACCATACTCCTACCATTGATGCTGTAGCAGTTACATTGACAAAACGAAACAGCGCATTTAGTTGTTCAGTGTTGCTTCTATATTGCCCCCCAAAGACAACAGTCTTAGAAGTCCAGGCTGTCATCAACTGCTTTTTGCACAAGACTCAATCTTCCTCTGTCATAGGAGGGGACTTCAACGTAGATCTGAGAAAATCCGCCAACACAACGTTTAACTTTCTACGTAAAGCAGGTTTCTCTCAAATTACAACTGCTCCAATTCACCAGAGTGGTTCCCATATTGATCATGTCTGGACAAGAGACCTTCAGCATGCACAAGTGACACAGTTGTGGACATACTACAGTGACCACAAGCAAATATTTGTAGATTTCATGTACTAGGTAATAATTACAATAACTTTGATATGCTTGTGTAAAGCATATTCAGGAACATTATATGATTCAGATATTCTCAAAAATCACATTTAAAACCATTTTTCACCATTGTCTATTACAAATGTATATATTTGACCTAACACTCATTAAAACAACCAAAATTGCTATGTCTTCACATATGTACCTGCAGTTTTTGTTTTCAATTCTTGCCATGAAATTCATACCATTTTCAATTATTTACATACTGCTATTACCATTTTTCAATATTTCTTAATATTAAGAAACTCAATCATAAGGGGTAGGTATTATGCGGGGCCCTTCCTCGACATTGGTCTAGTTATTTCAGCATATACATTGTCACTGCCATTATGTAACAAAACTTGTTGTCATTTCAGGTTCACACCAATGTAAAACTACAAATAGCAGCCACTACATGTATATCTAATCTTGTGTGGAATGAAGAGGAAGGTAGGCACGAGCAAATTTATCATTTTAACTTTAAGTATAATTCTTTTACAACAGCAATTTTAGTTTTTTACTGATTAAGCATTTTATTTCATATCTGTGAAGATAAAACCAAACAATTCAATGTCATACTAAACAGGATGTACTTGTTGGTCTACAAATGCCATCAGTACACATAACAGTCCTTTGTTGATTAAAAAAATTTACTTCAATCAGAAATATGAGAATCCAGTACTAATCCTTTCATTGTAAGTAAAATTTTGTCTCTTTTATCCAGTATTTGCTCAAAAGTGTTCAAGTTTAGATTTATTTTTATTGTGCAAATATTGCATTATATGTTTGTTATTGAATATGAACAGAAAATCTAGGTTAATATTTTTCCTTGAAAATAATATGCACTCAATTTGAGTCATATCAGTCTATCAATGCCACTCAAAGTCACAGGTGGCCTTTATAGACAGGTGACCTTTGTAGATATGTGGCTTTTATAGACTGGTGACCTTTGTAGACAGATGGCCTTTATTGACATATGACCTTTGTAGATAGGTGGCCTTTATAGACAGGTGACCTTTGTAGATATGTGGCTTTTATAGACAGGTGGCATTTGTTGGTTGGCCTTTGTAGACAGGGGACCTTTATAGACAGGTTGCCTTTGTAGACAGGTGGATTTGTTAAAGGTAGGATGAATCATTACGAATTGCATTACGTTATAAGACATTTGAGACAAATGTATATTTTCTTTTTTCTTTGAGTGCAAGGTTAAATTTCATGCATTATGATAGACACAAGAGATGCTGTGACACTTCCAGAGTTGTTTACTATGACAGACACATGCTGTAACACTTTCAGAAATGTTTTTTTTTTGAGATCAATATACCCATTGATAGCTATTCTATATATTACAGGGGCCTACAAACGTCAACAGAAGCTTCGAGATTTAGGTGTCCTTAAATTATTACAACAACTTCTTAATACACCTGATGCTACACTTTTTGAAAAGTAAGTATACCAGAGATAATATCCTTACAATAACAATAGATATCAATAGTTAGAACTTCTACTGATTAACAGGACATAACATGATCATCTAACCTGTTAAAATTGTCTCCTCTCACGTGACATTTCTGTCTTAGTAATGAAGAGTATTCCTTCACGTCTTTAAGTTAGGGTTTGCCCCCAGGGGCAGGAGGGGCAGGAGGGGCAGGACTCGTAGGTAAATGGACAAAGTCTTTAAAAGTCCTCCTTCTTATATAGGAATATCAGGATTCTGTTCCAATTTGGTCTGAGGCATCTTTGGGTAAAATTGAATCAGTTTTTTGTACATAGTAGACTCAGACCTCTGAGGTGGGAGGGGCAGGCAAGTAGTATTCTGTTCCAATTTGGTCTAAAGTATGCTAGAGTGAATTAGCCTTTTGTGTAATTTGATAGTCTGATCCCAAGTGGATAGAGGGGCAGGATCCAATAAGGGAAATATATATATATATATAGAATTCCTTTTCCTTTTGTTTGAATGAAACAATTTCAGCCAAATGAAGACAGCTGAGCAATACAGGCTGTGTGAGCCTCTTGTATTTCCAGAATATCTTTTTTATTCATCATTCTATTCCATCCTTGAAGAAAAACAAGCAAAAATTGAACATGACATCTTTTGCTTTATAAATGAAGACTGTTTTACTGACAACACATGTCTTCTTGTTTTCAGAGTGAAAACAACACTACACCAGTTCACATGACTAGCATGCAGTTTGTACGACGAGGTCTACATCTGAGGATTTAGTCACTTTAATATAGCTAACATTAATCTTTGTGTTCATAAAAGTTACATTCTATAGGAAATAATGCCAAGCATGAAATTATTGTGATGTAAAAATTTTCATTGTTTCATGGCAATAGACAAACCATGAAAATAAAAAGGAACAAATAAGATTTTTTATTGAAGTATGTGGGTAGTTATTGTTGTTGAATTTTTAACTAATTTCTTTAAACGATGTAATAGATTTAAATTATGAATATTCTCTTTTTTGATTTGATAAATTGACTATTAAGTGCTGTTTTCTGTAAAAACCTATAAGTGGAAATATCCATAAAAAAACAAGGACAGCAACTGTTACTTGAAGTTTCTGTATAGCATAACCTAATGCTGCCTGTTTGATGATCTGTTGCTGAAGTTACCATCGGGAAATCCCAATGTTTTATCCTGCGGTTGGAGAAATCGTCGGGGAATCCCAATGTTTTATCCGGTTGGAGAAATCATCGGGGAATCCCAATGTTTTATCCTGCGGTTGGAGAAATCATCGGGGAATCCCAATGTTTTATCCTGCGGTTGGAGAAATCGTCGGGAAATCCCAATGTTTTATCCTGCGGTTGGAGAAATCATCGGGGAATCCCAATGTTTTATCCTGCGGTTGGAGAAATCGTCGGGGAATCCCAATGTTTTATCCTGCGGTTGGAGAAATCGTCGGGGAATCCCAATGTTTTATCCTGCGGTTGGAGAAATCGTCGGGGAATCCCAATGTTTTATCCTGCGGTTGGAGAAATCGTCGGGAAATCCCAATGTTTTATCCTGCGGTTGGAGAAATCGTCGGGGAATCCCAATGTTTTATCCTGCGGTTGGAGAAATCGTCGGGGAATCCCAATGTTTTATCCTGCGGTTGGAGAAATCGTCGGGGAATCCCAATGTTTTATCCTGCGGTTGGAGAAATCGTCGGGGAATCCCAATGTTTTATCCTGCGGTTGGAGAAATCGTCGGGAAATCCCAATGTTTTATCCTGCGGTTGGAGAAATCGTCGGGGAATCCCAATGTTTTATCCTGCGGTTGGAGAAATCATCGGGGAATCCCAATGTTTTATCCTGCGGTTGGAGAAATCATCGGGGAATCCCAATGTTTTATCCTGCGGTTGGAGATATCATTGTGAAATCCCAATGTGATAACAGCTTTCAGCATGTCAGCAGCAAGGCTACACAAGGATAAACAGTAAAGAAACCATCTTCTGGAGATGTTACTCCTTTTTCTATTGAACATCTTCTGTTAAGATAAATAGAATGTTTATCATCTTTATTCACTTTCCTCAAGACTAGATTTATCTAAATCATACCTTGTACTTTATAACAAATGCTGTAAATATGGAAATACATGCATGATGGAAATTTACAATAGATATGCAACAGTCATTCGGTATTGTTTACTTTTTGGAACTGCGGAAATTTTCCCTTGGGAAAAAAAATGTAATAGCATGAAAAGCTTCAGGTAAAAATATGTAAGAACTGTATGAACTCTTCAAGGAAGGTTTGAAAAAGCTGCTTAATTAGGTTTTTTTTCTTTATATCTATGTTGTAGCATAATCTGAGTGAGACAATTTCATTATAGTATCAAAAAATATCAAGAGAAATATTTGTCTGTGCCTGGAGTACATTAAGTAGTGTATACACTGTTCCTCCTGGAAAAATATTTTATGTTGTATATCATTACCTGATGAATTTTGTCTAATTTGACACTTTATATGTGATGTTGTTTGTGATTTAGGATGGCTGTGCTATTCCCTTAATTTATTCCGGGAAATGATGTACATGAAAATTTTGTACAGTGGAACCCACTTAATGTCACGTCTGTTAATGTCACTTTCCTGTTAATATCACGTTGATATAACAGAGTGCTACAGTATTGTTAATTTATCCTGACATGTTTATGATATAGTCGTTATCTGAGGAATGGTTTTTCTGGTATGTCGTACTTCATTATGTTCTAAAGATGTCGGTTTATTTTGATCACCTGGCCCAAAGATTATATTAAGCATTAATATTAGCAAGTCTGTCTATTTTTTATTATTATTATTTTTGCATACAGAAAAATGTTAATTTGATGTGAATACTGGCAATTAAAAAAAATCAAGTTTGCTAAAAAAAAGTGATTTTGCCTTGGTTAGGTCACAATTTTTAAAAAGACTAATGGCAATGAACATAGCAATATTTATTGATTGAAAGTACAGGTATACTTTGCTGGAGTTATCAAGTTAGTTTTTAACAGAGTCACAGGTGTCAGATACATCAGAAACTTCACTAACTTGGAAATTCCAGTTGCTTTTTGATGGTATAATCTTAGATTTTAAATCTGTTGAGAAATATTCCCAAACAACCTGCAATAGTTAATATAGGGTTTTATATGCATTTTTCATGAATCTCATCAAAAGAAAAGATGTGTACTGATGTCAGTTATTAGTCAGCATTTGTAAGCCTTTACTAAAGTTTTCACCTACAAAATGCTATTACTGTACACACAATAAAACATTGATGAATTTACACATCCACAATACTTACATGCTATATAATCATCATACAGAACTGCAATTAAAGCATTCATACTGTAGTGCAATTTTTCTGCAGCACAAAATAACTGAAATATGTTCATTTACATGTTTGTTTGGTTTATTGCCCTGTGAAATGCCCTGGTCAATTTGAGGCAGGGTCCCCATGAAGTAGTCAGGAACTACCTTATTGACAACATATGAAAGGCCAGTAGCCAGTACCTTATTGTTAAAGACCGAGGCTATCATCTGATTTAATAATTCATATTTTTAGTACAGGATTTATGAAAGGTATTTTACTGTTGGTATATATACTGATATCATTTTACATGTAACTACAGTAATTAATAGATATCATCAACATCCTAAATGGTTTTATTTATTGTCAAAACCCTCAGTGTTAGGCAACTATTAAACCCTTAGTTCTAGACTACAGTTAAACCTTCAGTGCTAGGCTACTGTTTAAGCCTCAGTGCTAGGCTATAGTTAAACCCTCAGTGCTAGGCTACTGTTAAACTCTCAGTGTTAGGCAACTATTAAACCCTTAGTTCTAGTCGACTGTTTAACCCTCAGTGCTAGGCTATTGTTTTACCCTCATTGTTAGGCTACAGTTAAACCCTCAGAACTAGGCTACTGTTAAACCCTCAGTGTTAAGCTTCTGTTAAACCCTCAATGCTAGGCTACTGTTAAACCCTCAGTGCTAGGCTACTGTTCAACTCTCAGTGCTAGGCTACTGTTAAACCTTCAGTGCGAGGATACTGATTAACTCTCAGTACTAGGCTTCTGTTAAACTCTCAGTGCTAGGCTACAGTTAAACCGTCAGTGCTAGACTTCTGTGTAACCCTCAGTGCTAGGCTACAGTTAAACCCTCAGTGCTAGACTTCTGTGTAACCCTCAGTGCTAGGCTACTGCTAAACTCTCAGTGCTAGGTTACAATAACCCTCAGTGCAGTTTACTTTAGGCCAGGCTGTCGTCAAAATCTCTACACTATTGTTATCTGAGTATCATATTAAATAAATTATTCTACATATATATGTGACTATGTGTACTTGTTTTTTCCCATAAGTTTAAAGAAAGGATCACAATTGTAATGAAATCTGTCTATAAAGGACACTGAAGGGAGCCAAGAAAAGTTACCTTGAAGGAGGGAAAGAAAATCCAGTACTAAAGATAGCTGATGCCTGAAGAAAATAGGCTACTTTTTTTTCCAAAGAAACAAAAGTGCCTTTTGTTCTTAGTCTGATAAGATAACCACACAAAAGTATTTGCTTATCAATAGGTGAAATATTATAATGCTGAATAACATTTAACTGATGAAAGTGGGCTCTTCAAATCACCCTACGTCTGTCATTCCTCCATCCATCTGTATGTGAATAATTTTTGTTATCACTATTTCTTGAGAAGTACTGGATGATCTTTCTCAGATTTCAAACTTAGGTTGCCCTTGTTGACCCCATTTGATTTTGGGACAGATTAGAAAAATAAGCAAAATGGCTTCCAGACGGCCATTTTTGATTTGGTAGTTATAGATTATCATTGCCATTTCTGCAAAGAGATGTTTTAATCTTTTATCATTAAGAGCAAACAGAGAAGGGAAAAGATCCAACGTTCAAAGAGCAAATAAAGATTCAATCATTTTAGCTTATTGAGGAGTCCTAGATGGATGAAACAGTTTTATGATGCAGTTTCAATCATTTTAGCTCTATTGTATCCAACTCAAAATTTGCATTTAAAAGTGCTGTTCACTTGTGCATCTTTTGTACAATATTCAATGAAATTAGTTTCCAAGTTTTGGAGAAGTATGGACCAGATACCTGTAATCATAGGTCTGATTTGTTTACTATAGCAACAAACTTAAATAGGATATTTTCAAAAAATATATCAGTGCAATAACTTTTCTTCAAAATCCATATTTATCAGTTTCTAGCATAATTACACAATTTATATAAAGTGTGACCGATCAGAAGCCTTTATTGGTTTCAATATTGTAGTTCTAGAAACATGTGTCAAGTTATAGGCTTTATATCAGCGACACCAACTTCAGTTTCGGCCAATCAAAAACCTTCATTATCTTTCTATAGTCATGGTTCTGGAAACAGCTGATATGTCAAATTTTAGGCTTTCTTTAGTTATACCATTTGATTAAGTCCTATTAAAACTGATTCAAGGACAGAAGAACAATGGGCCATTACGAAAAAATTTGTGTATGGAGACCTGGTTACCATGGTAACTTTTTTTATGTTGTATGTTTCTGAAAATATTACCATTATAATTACCATTTTTCAAAACACTTCTTTATACATTTTCTATAAATTTTCAGCATTGAATATGACAATATCTCAAGTTTTGACCAATCAAAAGCCTTCAATATGTTTCCATAGTAATGGTTCTGGAAACACATTAAAGTTCTACCATTTGTCCTAGTTTCTTTAAAACTGATGTGCTAGGATCAGTTTACAAAAATTTCTGTATATTGGCCTGGTTACCATGGAAACCAAATTTTTGGGATAAACAACATACATGCACATCTACCCATGGTCTCTGTCTCATATTCTTGTGTTGTTTCATTGAAACTGATCCACAATTTTAGGAAAATTTGTCTGGACATGATTCGTGGATGACAGACATCAAGACAGGGTGATTCCAGCGAGTGTCCACCCCACACCCCTGCCTCCTTTCCCCAACTCAATATATTAAGCAACAAAAGCACATGGTGATAATAATCTTTTATTCATACAAATAAATCTCAAAATTCTTTTACCAAATATAATGATAACATATAAAATTCATATAAAAAATTTGTAATCAGAATCTTGATTTTAAAAAAAATCGTAAAGAGAGAGAGCCCTGAATAGCTCTTTAAGAAGATAATTCTCATAATGCATTGCCAGAGCTCCAAATTGATACTATATGCTGGGTTAGTAACGGAACAAAACAATAAATAGCATTTGATTCTGAAAGCATCATTGCTATCAAAATAATGCCTTATTGTTAATATATCTCCTATATACCTTTAACTTTTACCTAATGCAGAATATCTCACTTAAAGTGTGTGGATTTAAACAATTAATGCATGTCATGATTCAGGGACAAAATTCACTGTGGCAAGACAAGACTCAATCACCTGCTAAAAGGCCGAAGACTGGAACAGTAAACATAATGCCTGTTAAATCAATAAGCAAATTAAAAAAATTAATCTGTACATAAGTGATTAGGAAAATGTTTGACAACGGACACAGTACCGAAGTTTAGGTTTGTTGCTTGTTTTATGGGCAGGTGAGCTAAAACATAGAAAATTTATGTACAGCAACTCGAAAAGTATGTCACATTCTTTCTCAAATTACATTATAGAATTAGTGTGCTTTGACAAGACATGACACGGATAAAAAGTAATTAGTACATGACATTATACATCTTGTTACTTTTTGAATATAATACTATCAATATAACCAACTTAGGCATGTATACATGTATGTACTGTATATCATAACAATTGTCTTGAACACAATCCTTCAAAATACTTTAAAACAAATTGATTTAATTTCAAATTCAGTCATGCACATGAGCTACTCATACACAGCTGAGCATGAACTTTCGTAAGATGCCTTATTCTTGTGTATAGTACATATTATGTTTTTGAAAAATGAAATCCTTAAAATTGCACATTATATGTGCATATTTATGGTATAAGAGACTGAATGGGTCTGTATCTCTCACTATAATGAGATGGACTAGTTGGAATTGTGATCTGTGAAGCAGGTAGTTTCATATCTTCTCTTTTATGCATGCATTTTGCCAAATATCATGAGCCTAGGTTTCTTGGTTATACAGAATAAGTGTGTCTGACCTGTGAGTTCCGGAATGCAGGTCAAGGTTATCCTTTTTCAAATTCTTAAACTCCGATATGATGACCCTTGATTTCTAGCCTATTTTGAACACAGTTTTTCTCTGGTAAACTTGGAATAAGGTCAAGGTCATCCATTTAAACAAAGTTGATGACCCTTTATCCAAACAGGCTACTGGCATAATATTGTAACACTGGCTCTTGGCTATATATTCAGAAAAGTCATTGAATGAACAAAGTTGACATCAGGCATACAACAAACAACATAATTTGCCCTCAAAACTGGGCTGTATTATGCATGTACAGATAACAAATACGTAACAGAAACACGAGACAGGTTATTAGACACAGTTGTGTTACAGTAGACATAATTATCACAACCATATAGTGTAGACTTCCTAACTAATATAAAAAAAATTATCAAAAATATGATATTTTATATATTGATTTGAAAAGCTGCCTCAACCACAATATATTGATAAATGATATGGCCACATCAGACATCCAACAAAGTCTGTGATATAGTTCTAAGTCTGTTATACAAACTATTAAAGTCTCTTACTTTGCCATATGTACAAATTAATTTTCTATATTCTAACTCCTGTTAAAGTCTGCGACCTAATGCTACTATCTTAATTATTTGAGAAGCCCAAGACAGTGTTTCCAACCTCCAGCTATCTAATGTCTGGTCATAGCCCTCGATACCTAGCCGGTCGTCATCACAAGACACACGATACCTAGCGGGTCGTCATCACACGACACACGATACCTAGAGGGTCGTCATCACACGACACACGATACCTAGCGGGTCGTCATCACACGACACACGATACCTAGCAGGTCGTCATCACACGACACACAATACCTAGAGGGTTGTCATCACACGACAAATGATACTGATCACATTTTATGTATTTAGATGACGTTCTTTGTTATGTTTGATAATTATTTTGACTAATATTAGATCCAAAAATTGATTTTGAAATTTCTAAATACTGATTAAAAGCAAAGAATTCTACAGTAATTGAATTTTTTGTTCAAAATTCAAACAGGCTGTGATGATGGTCAATATTGGGTTGACCAGACAAAATCTGGTGAGTTGGTGACACTGTAGGGGTTAAAAACATACAAAAAACAACATGTAAAAATATTCATAACAAAGTACACACTTTAAATGTTATAAAGTATTTAAGATGTAAGTTCTGTGAGAATAATTTACTACAAATATACAAATTATTATGCACAACAGAAAAAAATATTAATTGATAACTCATTTGTTTTTCATGAATTTTATATACAGGTTCATTTAGATATAGAGTATTTGATTTGGACAAGTTCGCGACACAGGTACTCAAACGAAAAAATTCTTTCAATTCAACACTCTCAAAGTAAAGATGTACCCAGTATTAAATAAACCTACATAGTTCTATTGCCAAAATACAGTTGGAGAGAAATTTTTACCACAAAGTATGTGATGAAAGACAAGGAGCAGAATTCAAAATAAAGACAGTCAGATCTATCTCAGGAGATGAGAGTCTTCTGTGTAGTAAACATATAAACAAGAAAATACCAACATGTCAATACAATCATAATCCGCACTCAAATTCAATCAATCTAAAATATGAACAAAAGTAAGGTATACACGGAGACTCATGAAGTACAAGGAGAATAAGACCAGGTGTTTCGGAAGAGTAAGCATCTTCTGCTTTATTGATGACGTCTGCCATTTAAATCTTGGTCAATCCAATGTTACGTTCCCAAATGAGAACAAGCTATATAACAACAGAAACGATAAGTAAACTAACCAGCATCAAACACGTCCTTTTTCATATTGCATGAAGAAATACGAATGTTTCCCGATGAGTTCACTATGACAACTGTAAAGCTTCCATATAATTTTCATTAACCAACAAACACAGAGCCTGACCTATCACAGGAGAGAACAGTCCTCTGTCTACAAACTGTAACAGTATATGTGTTATCAACTGTTTATTAAAAATGTGTACAAATTTGGATTTCTAGCCCTAAATTTGTAGTAGACTAAGTAAATACATTTGGATATCTATTGGCAATGTCAATTAATTTGTTCATCTTTCTTTCAAAATGCAAAAATTTCGCACGATAGTTTGGAAAAAAATAGCATATTCGTTGGTTGTATTTTCCAAAAATTTAACCATTATAAACGAAAAAAAAAAATCACAAAAAACATATTCAAACATAACATCATTACAATATAACAAAAACAAAAAGTACAAAATTTTTGTTCTATGAAATTTCAATTAATATATAAGCAAAATATATTATGCATATTAATGATATGTAGACTTTTTACTATAATGATATAATATTATGTCAACTTAATTCACAACAATCAAAAACATTGGTATAAACAGGATGATGGGATTTCAGATATCTGATTGCATAGTACTAACTAGTGAGCCATACTGTTAAGTAATTTATTTATTTTAAATGTACGGAGGAGAAATATATTTATTATTTTTTTAAATAGATAAATTACTTATCAATAACATAATTAAGGCTCCTAAGGAATGTTTATTCACATAAAAATGAGTCTTTTGAATCTATTGTCAACAAAAAATCATACAAAATATCAACAGGAAAACTTGTCAACAAAAACGAATTAATGGAAGATTTAAAGATTAAACATGTCACTTTAAAGTAAAACAGCATATGTTTCCTTTCTAATTGCAAAAGACTGAAACTGCTTCTTATATATACATATGTCATTTACATATAAGAAAGGTAATATCATTTTGAAAGAAAAACTGAATATGAATTTTAATAAACATATATATCAGAAAAAGAGGCCCATCGGCCTTAACGGTCATCTGACATAAAATACAAGATTTCAAATTTTGAACTTGAGAAGAAATCAAAAATGTGTTTTCAAGATGGCGGCCATGTTGGATTTCGGACCAACCCGAAATTAACAAACTTTGGTCAGGATCATGTCACGATCATTTAAGGTAAGTTTCAGCTCAATGAGACAGGTAGAACTTGAGAAGAAGTTGAAAATGTTTACGACGGACGACGCCGGACAAAAGGCGATTGCAATAGGTCATCAGACCCTTCGGTCAGATGACCTAAAAATGTGGTTTTTCCCCTTTCATTCTGGCCACATGGCAAGGTCTGGTACTCAGAACTCAGAATATAACACATCAATACTGCAAATCAATCCCTGAGGTCATGCACATCAAATCACATCATATTAACAATCTCAAATTACCATACAAATACATTAAAAAGAAAAAAAATGTCTATAGAATATTCCTCAGTCTGTAACATAACTAAAGATTATTTTACAGTGTCCATCTATTATACTTTATTTAAGGTTACCTGACCTAAATAAAATGTAAAATTGAATATTTATCATAGACAACAGAATATCTCATATACCATATTTGTAGTAAAGACAATTTTTTCTGATGTGGCATATTAGTCATAGTTGATGCAGTTACTGTCAAAACTTGTTATCTCCAAATTTAAGGGTCTGTGGTAAATATTTGACTTTGTAATTTGAAGTGATAAAAGACATATTTGGGTGAAATGTTTAATTACATGTACAATGTATATGGTACTGGCACAAAGTTAGGTACCTCTACCTCATCAATATATGTCATTCTGATAGAGGTCAGTCAGTCCTACCTCTGTATGAGGAAATCTTACAACATACATTATGATTTTATATACCGTTATAACAACATTGTCATGTAAACCTACGTATACAGAAATTTTTGGCAGCTTTGTTCTCTATGTTAGTGAAAATATGACCGTTTGAATATACCCCTGTACCTGTTAATAAGCCCATGTATACGTGTATGTAGAAACAGTCAATAAAATTATAATTAAATGGGATTTAATTTCTTCTCAAAAGTCCAACTCCTGACTTTGAGTCAGATTTAGTTCAGTTTATCATTGCTTTGCATCCTATTAACAGCCAGGGTCATTTAAGGATGTGCCAGGTGATGACAGAAAGTCAGTGTTACTGGAGAAATCCATGGACTTACTGCCAGTACCTGCCAACAGCCCATAATCAACATAATTCATAGTCCCTTGAACTTATTACAATATAAATACAGTCAGTACATTTTTTTATTTGTCCTAAATCATCGTCTCTGTCATTGAATCTCCATCGTATCCCAGGTTCATATGCCTGTTATCATTGTAATAGTTGCCCTGGTTACCAGGGAGGTGTTCATTGCTGGGTGGTTGCCTGGGAGAATTACCCATCATAGGTCCATAGTTACTAGGCAATCGCTCATAACTGATGGGGTCTCCTCGACTATCATATCCTCTCGGAGTGCGACTTACATCAGCAGCATCTTCGTAAGGGTTTTCATGGTAGTAATAAGAATGAGGTGCATTTCTAGGCGTACTTTCATGGTCTGTATCAGAAGATCTATGACTTATTGGAACAAAATGCTGCCTGTCATCTTGAATGATGCGAGAGTTATGAGCATGGCTGCCATTTGTTTCATAGGTACGTAGAGTCATAGGTATAAAAGTCAATGGCTGTTGGTTTACCGAAGGATAGCCACCATATTGTGTATGGCTTGGTTCATTAGTAGCTGAAGTATATCTATCAATATTACTTGGCTTGTGTTGGGTGTCATGTCTCATACCTCTGACAGGAAGAGGTAAAGTTCTAGCTTTGTTATTGTAGTAGTCTGTATCATATCCTAAAGACCTATCTACAGGTTCTCTTATAGTATATGGCAATGTATTCATCTCTCGCCCCAGTTCAATATTAGAAGGGTACTTTCGAGGTTGTGTCACTGGAAGATGGCTGTAGTTTTGTCGAGAGACGTTTGTTGTCTGCTGTCGCAGTTCAGACAGATTGTTGACTGTTAGCTGGATCCGCTGTGCCTTACGGTCATATCCACCTGGTTTCCAACTCTGTGGAAGAGTGCTCACCCTCTGGTAGTCTGTATATAGTGGCTGGCTGCCTAGAAAGGAAATAGAAATGAAGTAATTAAGGTTTACATAGAAACACTCCCTCCTTCCCCAAAATCTTGATCTTTTTATTTCTGACTAAATCTGTTGAGGTGTTCATGAGATATCTTTTATGCAAGCTTAGTTTTCAAAAGAGGTTAAGTGTGACCTTTAACCTTTAACTTTTAACCTTTACTGATGGCAAATAAAATCTAATTAGGTGTAGAACTTATCTATGTGATGTTATGAAGTAAATATGAATCAAATCTTTTCGGGGGTTAATGAAAATCTCTGCTTTGCATAAATGCCTGCACAGACACTCCACCTTCCACCTTAACTATGGGTAGTGGTATGATGAAGGAGAAATTTACATATCAGACTGGAGATGATTACAACAAGGAGTCGCAAAGCATGACATTATCCCCAGCACCCAGTTGTTTGTGTAAAACCCATATATGATATATATATATATATACTGGTATAACAAGTTGTGACATCACTAATTATGTACCGCTACTATCACCCAAAGATCTAATACAGTGAAAACACTAGTGCAAAATGTAAATTCTTCTTTTGTCAATTACCAATTAAATATCCTTGCATCTCCTCAACTTCACCATTCTAATTGTAGCAATACAATAAGTCACAAGAAACAAAAAAAATTGATAACAGAAAAAAAAATTATAATAAAATGTCCTCAATAAAAAAGGCACAACTAGGGCACTAGCCTAATATATACAGAAAGCTTTGTGGAGTTGAGTGGAATGGTTTTGAAGTTGAAGCCCGTGAAGGAATTTACACACTAATTTTGTGCTTTTTGGGTATGTTTCCATGGTAACAGAAAAAATTTAATGAAATGTGGTCAATAGCAAAAGGTACAACTAGGGCACTAACTTTGTATATGTGGCAAGTTTTGTGAAGTTGATTTAAACAGGTTTGAAGTTATAGCCTGAAAAAGCCCTCGGATGGACGGAAGCTTACATGAACACACAGAGCCCAAATTATCATCACCTGCAACTGCGGGCAATGAACCACAGACCACAGACATAAGGTGACTTGAATAGCCAACCGTCTGATGATGGTGGGCTAAAAATACCACCCAGTAATTGCCAGCATGAAATGACAGCAAACCAAAACTTATCATCACAGGGATAAAACCTAATGGATCAAATAGTATCTAAAATGATCCTTACTTGACTTGGGCAGTGTCGAGGAATGTCGCGCATACTCTTGCTGTGGTTCTGGGATATGATTAGATGTTCTGCGTGAGGTGTCTCTATAATGATGGGAGCTTCGTAGTCCTGATACAGAGAGACTACCTATGTGCTGAATTGTAGACATATTTTCTTCAGGTAGAATGTCCACCTTCTCCCTCTGTAACAAAAATCAATGCAGGAATATGTCACAGATTTATCTCCCTTAGTTGGAACTCGAGACTGATGTGACATTAATTGGGCCTAAACCGATCTCTATCTTTCTAACTAATAAAATGAAAACATGTGAACCTCAAACCTGAGTAAAAAGCACTGTTACTACCTGATTAGATAGGAGCTGGGAACACTCTAAAAGGGACAGAGTACAATGGTTTATACTGTGTACACACCACAATGTTCGAAATATGATATTCACTAACTTTCTTTTCGACTAGTTTTCTCAATTAATATCTGTAAGTGAACTGCAAAGGTAGAGCACATAGATGTACTGTAAAGGTTTTGGCAATATTCTGGTCAATCATATACAAAACATGTGTAAGAAAAACAGAAAGTTTTACCATTTTTTGGTTGACTTGTCTCTTGACCAATAAGTTGTCCATTTTATGTTTCTTGTTTTCCTGTGAAGAAAAAAATCATCTGCTCCTGATCAACAGGCAATTATTGAAGAAAGAATTAATTACATTGTTTAACAAGAGATCCCAGAGGGATCTTGGTGCCCACCATTTGAGGATCTGTTTTCAGTTCTTGAAGATTTGTTTATTTTTTTTTTGTGTTACAGGTTTTGTAAATGTTCATGAACTGGTCTTCATTGAATGTTCTCAATGATGGCACAAGATATTTTTATTAAGCACCCATTAGCAAATATCATTTAAAAAAGATCCCAAAGTATTATTAGATAGCAGTCAGTTTCAGGTGGATAATGGACATGGTCTTGAATCAATATGATAGAACTATAGAATATTGAAGAAAATATGCTTGTGCTGTATTATTGTCGACATCCAAGATGGCTGCCTGTGGGCCAACTTGATTTCAAATCAGTCCTAAAAAAGTACAATGCACAACTAGGGACCGAGGGAAACCAATACCTATGAAATAACAGAAGTATCCATCCAGTACATCCTCAGAAATAGCAGTAACAAGATTTTACTTTCAAAATCCAAGATGGCTGCCTGTCAGCCATCTTGATTTCAGATCAGTCCAAAAAGGTACAATGCAAAACTAGGGACCAAGGGGAAACTGCTTATGAAATTAGAGAAAGATCCATCCAGTACTTTCCCAGAAATAGCGATAACAAACTTTTACTTCCAAAATCCAAGATGGCCGTCTGTCAGCAATCTTCAATTTGAATCAGTCCAAAAAAGGTACAATACACAACTAGGGAACCAAGGAGAACCTGCATATGAAATTTGTGAAAGATCCATCCAATACTTTCCCAGAAATAGCGGTAACAAACTTTTACTTCCAAAATCCAAGATGGCCGTCTGTCAGCCATCTTGAATTCAAATCAGTCCAAAAAAACGTACAATGCACAACTAGGGACCAAGGGGAACCTGCATATGAAATTTGAGACAGATCCATCCAGTCTTTTCCCAGAAATAGAGGTAACAAACTTTTACTTTCAAACTCCAAGATGGCTGCCTGTGGGCCAACTTGATTTCAAATCAGTCCTAAAAAAGTACAATGCACAACTAGGGACCGAGGGAAACCAATACCAATGAAATTTGAGACAGATCCATCCAGTACTTTCCCAGAAACAGCAGTAACAAAATTTTACTTTTAAACTCCTAGATGGCTGCCTGTCGGCCATCTTGAATTTGAATCAGTCCAAAAAACGTACAATGCACAACTAGGGACCAAGAGGAACCTGCATATGAAATTTGAGAAAGATCCATCCAGTACTTTCCAAGAATTATGCGGTAACAAACTTTTACTTCCAAAATCCAAGATGGCTGCCTGTCGGCCATCTTGAATTCTAATCAGTCCAAAAAACGTACAATGCACAACTAGGGACCAAGGGGAAACTGCATATGAAATTTGAGAAAGATCCATCCAGTACTTTCCCAGAAACAGCGGTAACAATAACAAGAATTGTTTACGGACGGACGGACGGACGGACGGACGGACGGACCACGGACGCAGGGCGATTTGAATACCCCACCATCTGATGATGGTGGGCTAAAAAACCACCTTAATGGAGTCTATTGATAAGCAACTACCCACTCTCACCCACCCACAACCTCCAGCCCTCCTTACCCATTGTCCCCTCATCTCCCCCTTCCCCCACCTTCCATCCCCCAACCTCCACCTCTATATACCTTCCAATCCCCAATGTCCATTCCTCTCCCCCAACCCTGCAGCCCCACAAGCACCAGGCTTATTGCATGAGACATATGACACTTAATGCCCCAAATTGTTTGAAATCTATACATCAGCCCAGCCATTGCCTTCTATTTGAATTGATAACGGCAATATGTCAGGAAAAAGACATATACAACAGCGGGCAGATTTGAAGATAATGTCCCTATTCATATGCAAATTTTAAAATACAATATACATATACATTTCTTTAATGTTTAAAGTTATCATATACTTACAAAATGTTCAAATATCATCACTGACGGCAGCCATATGATCGCAGAGAAAAGGGTGATGAAGAACACAATGTTGTTCCTCATAAAAACATCTGCATCAATACAAAACAATTAAACATATTTACTGCACCTTAACCTGCAAATCTTATACTCTTTAATAATTTTTCTTTTTCCAAATTACTTCAATTTTTTTTCTCAATAAACTAGTTACAAAACTTTACCCTGCAGGAAACTCGTATATAATCATAAGTTAATGGTCAACTTAAGAAAACAATTGTACAAAGTTGGTCTTTTTAACCAAATGATTTACATGTTTATTTGTATACGTATATAATGGATGTAAGCCAGATATATTGTACTTACCAAATGAGCTTATGATATCACTTGTCAATGCATTCCAGAACTTATTCATTCTTGATGGACTTTTTATGCACACACCCTTAAAGAAAGAAATGTACCTTCAAAATATAAATGCTAGAAGCACTCTTTACTACTGAACACCACAAACCTTTCACTCAGTGAAACATATCAACCCTTCTAAGGATTATATACAAAACTATATTTAATACATAAACTTAAATCTTATATCTTCTTTTTAACGACATCTTTAAAGGTAAAATATCAATTTATTTGTGATATTTTGAAATTCTATAATATCCAATTTATTCAAATTATGCGTACATTCAATTATTGAGTTATCATATTTACCGCTTGGCAGTATCCTTGGTAACAGGTCCGACCATCGTCCAACAGTTCTGTGAAGCTGATACATTTTGAATCACTGCTATGTCTACAGCATCTGTAGCATGCCAGTCCACTCTCTGTGGAATCAAGGAGACAAGTATAACTGTAAAGTGTCATGGGGTTCTGAACAGGAGCGTTTTACAGTTAAATTCAGGAAAGTAACAAACCCTTTTAGTGTAAAATTATTGTTAATAAACTGGAGAGTTTTGAAAAGAAATTTGTCTATATTTTCATTTATCTAACAGTAGTTTATTTTCGCCGACAATATATTTCACAGTTATCCAATTCGGATATTTCGCAGGTACTTAATTTCTTGTTTTTCTATATGATTTGTATCAATGTACATGTATTACAGGAATAACAGAGATTTTGATTTACTGTAAAAATGTTCACTTGCTTTCTGATTTTGTGTTGTCTTTTGAAACTGCAATTATAGTGAAATTAAATTCCATGCGAATGTAACTGACAAAAATAGCAAATGTCAGTGGTTTATTCCTCAACTAAGTTGATTATCACTGTACATAGGCTAGTAATAAGATGTTTCAATATAATATGATAAAAAAGGAGACCCCAGACATCTAGGTGAAAGGCCAGTGGGTTACCACTGTGCCACACAACCACCCTATGAATATCTTACCTGGTGAACACACACAAGGAATCATGCCTTTTAGTTGACAAAATCCTACACAATTTCCATCTATACATTTGCCACTGAAAAAAATGGATGAAGACTGATTTAAGTGATAAAAGATTACAATTTGGCAGATGTTACATAAAAACAGATTTAGCAACAACAGTGAAATAATTTTCCTAAACAAAGTGACAATATTTGAGCCTCCATTACACTAATGCAATAGCACTCATTTTTTCTGGCTTCTATTTTAAATGATTTTAGTTAATATTGAGGATGTAAAAAAAAAGATAAAAAAGAATTATAAAATCCAAAATGCATCTTTTATGCTTCATGAAATTTTTTTTTTAAATGATATACTCACGCATCATGGCAAGATGTATTGTCCGTCTTTTTGCTGGGTGGTGGACAATCATACCGGAACCCACTAAAATCTTTTTAAGGAAACATTTTTCACATTTGGTAGTTAACATTGCAATATATTTGCAATAGGAAGGATTAATGAAAAATACCTTACCCAATAAAGAGAAATTCCCGCTAGCAAAGGCCAGTGAGGAGACCTTGTATACTCTACACTACTCCAACCTTCACAATGTCTTTGACCCCCCACACAACAATAACCCTCGTTTAGTATCTCTAGGAAAGCATCTCAATCTCCACTAGGTTCTACCCTCTGAGTGGTCAACAGCACCAAATCTGTGATAGGAAGGAGCAATGCCCCAGAGTGTGTGTTCAAACTTGTGACCTTTCAGTCTCTAGCCGGACACTCGATCACTGGACTAAAAGGAAATTCCCACTAGTCAAAACAAGTAAGGCGATCTGTACACTAAACTTCCACACTTTGAAGGCTGAATCTCCTTAGAGTACATGTAGCTGGTGACTAACTTTACAAATCTTTGTGCCAACGGCCAGTGGAATTTTTCTGAGTAATTGAGGTAGCAGGTCTTTCTAAATTAAAGGACAAAACCACGATAACACAGGACAGTCAGTGATCTTTCATACGCTTCCATAGAAATGTGAAACTGCCATGGCTTAGGTTCTTCTCCTTCCCCTGAGATATCGTTGAGAACCCACAAGCCTTTGCTCTGTCATTTGACTCAAACGACAGAGCAGATTCTCATGGATATACAACCATGCCCCTGAGGTGGATAATCCCGATGCTCTACTGTGTAAGCTATCATAATATCTACAATACTGGAATGGTTCAGCTTTCTGAGATACACAAACAGATCAAACCTTAGATCCTCACCTAAGGTAACAAAATTTTATGATCTATCGATTAAGCTATCATCTTCCCCGTAACACAAGCAGATTTACAGATAAGCTTGAATAACTTATGTCATACTGGCCACAATATACCGATCCACTTGAGTGATTTTCTCTTGGCTCCATCAGTCAGCCATAAAACTAGTAAGTCAGAGGTCCAGGGTTCAAATAATAAATAAAGGCATTGAATAAAAAAGAATAAATACTACACAAGTAAGTGTAGTATTCTAGGAAGATTTCTTCACGAAGACAATGTAACATAAACACTGACGAATCCCAGTCTAATAGGAAATCAATTCAGCCAAGTATTGAAGGTTATAGAAAAGGATACTCGCACTGGGCATCACCCTTACAGGCAAAATTGTCATCCACATTCTGTAGACATACTGTTCCAGCTGAGGCCAGTTTACACTGAGAACAACACGCCTTGTTGTAAGGACTGTAGAAAAATTAATATGAAATTGAAATAGTATATAGGTCATATCCAATATTGATATTAGATTTTCAAATTTTTTAAACCATTTGATTATACTATATAGATATACATGTATATGTATCCCTTCAATTACCCACAGACCAGTTTTTCTTTTCTTTTATTTCATACTCTGATGATACTGATATCATTCATACATATTGCAGTGACAATTTTGTGATACAAATTTGATGAAATATAAATGCTTTATCAGTTAAGCGATACAAAATTTTTAACATTTTCATCGAGAAGGTAATGTCTATTCCAGTAAAAGATAAATCTTACTGAAAAGTTTCAGAAATAAAGAAATTCTATATATGTTGGTGCTGGAGTAAATGCAACAATAAGTTTTTAGACAATAGCTGGTAACTAGCCTTTTACCTAAGACACTTTGATCAGGTGTGAGAACTTACCTACAGTCTGAAACTTGAGGTGAGGAGACACTTGTGCCAAAGACACAATGATAAGGTGTGATAACTTACCTACAGTCTGATCCTGAGGTGAGGAGACACTCGTCTGTACAGTAGGCGTTTGCCTTGTATAGACCTGAGTCACACTGATGAGGTGTGACAACTTACCTACAGTCTGATCCTGAGGTGAGGAGACACTCGTCTGTACAGTAGGTGTTTGCTGTGTATAGACCTGAGTCACACTGATGAGGTGTGACAACTTACCTACGGTCTGATCCTGAGGTGAGGAGACACTTGTCTGTACAGTAGGTGTTTGCTGTGTATAGACCTGAGTCACACTGATGAGGTGTGACAACTTACCTACAGTCTGATCCTGAGGTGAGGAGACACTTGTCTGTACAGTAGGTATTTGCTGTGTATAGACCAGAGTCACACTGATGAGGTGTGACAACTTACCTACAGTCTGATCCTGAGGTGAGGAGACACTCGTCTGTACAGTAGGTGTTTGCTGTGTATAGACCTGAGTCACACTGATGAGGTGTGACAACTTACCTACAGTCTGATCCTGAGGTGAGGAGACACTTGTCTATACAGTAGGTGTATGCCTTGCATAGACCTGAGTCACACTGATGAGGTGTGACAACTTACCTAGTCTGATCCTGAGGTGAGGAGACACTTGTTTGTGCAGTAGGTGTTTGCCTTGTATAGACCTGAGACACACTAATGAGGTGTGACAACTTACCTACAGTCTGATCCTGAGGTGAGGAGACACTTGTCTGTACAGTAGGTGTTTGCCTTGTATAGACCTGAGTCACACTGATGAGGTGTGACAACTTACCTACGGTCTGATCCTGAGGTGAGGAGACACTTGTCTGTACAGTATGTGTTTGCCTTGTATAGACCGGAGACACACTAATGAAATATGACAACTTACCTACAGTCTGATCCTGAGGTGAGGAGACACTTGTGCCCCAGACACATTGATGAGGTAAAGTACTTACCTACAGTCTGTCCCTGAGGTGAGGAGACACTTGTCTGTACAGTAGGTGTTTGCCTTGCATAGACCTGAGTCACACTGATGAGGTATAGTACTTACCTACAGTCTGACCCTGAGGTGAGGAGACACTTGTCGGTACAACAGGCGTCTGACCTTGTACCAGAGTCACATTCCTCTCCACTGTCCAATCGACCATTACCACAATAGGCAAAGTAAGGGTTCTTCTCTGAATCAAAATATTAAAATCTATAGCATATATATAAATCCAAATAAAACCCATAAAGTTAGAAACAAGTGAAGGGGTCAACACATAAGCCAGTAATTAGTGATTATGCTGAAACATCAACCGGTTATATCTGAGGGGAATGACACATAAACCAGTAATAAGTATGGGTGTTGACACATAAACTTGAAGTGAACTTATTCCAGGACATGGAAATAACATTTGATTTCCTTTTCCTAAAACTGCAATTCATATGTGGGTGGGCTTATTATCAGGTAAGGGTTATTGCTGGATTAATTCATTAATTTCATTTTTTGTTGATGTTTTATGACCTATTAACAATCAGCAGTATTTTAGGAACATGCCCGCTTTGGGTACATGGTGGAAGAAAGCTGGAGTTCCCAGAGAAAAATCACCAACCTGTGGCCAATACCTGGCAACTTGTCAGATGTCAGGTGTGAATGTTTCAGCCAACCTTGTTATTCATACCAATCCCCTTTACCAAACAGAACTGAACATTAACTATTGCCATATTTATCAGGCAATATGCCCATGTCTAAAAATAAGCCTGCACAAGTTTATTGCAGATCAATAAAAATGCCAATAAATGGTAAATTATTGTCCTGTAATAAGCCCATCATAATTTCAAGATATTACACACACACAATTGGTTTCCTCTTGCCCAAAGTCCGCTCAATTGTTCATGAATAATTGCAATATATAATTAAAGTTGATGGCGGACAGACATTGGAGTGGTTGGATGCCGAGGTATCTCTACAGCTTATTTGGCCCTCTCAGCCAGGTGAGCTAAAAATGCCAATAAACAGTATATTATTATCCTGTAATAAGCCCATCATGATGTCAAGGTATGTTGGGTTTTAAACCAAATACAGCAAAGTAATTCCGGAGCAACATCTCACCTTTCAAACATTCCATGCCTTTAGTTTCCAATACCTTGTACACTGATCTTCTACTGCAGGGTGAAAAAATCTACCAAGAATAAAGAAAATGTTTAATTGTATAGTGAGTTACCAATATTATAAAAATATACTTTCCTGCCAATATCAATGTCTAACATAAAATCATTGGAGGAATATGATGTGTATATCAAGATGTTCCAAGTGTTTCCATTTCATAAGTGTGTATGATACCTTTAGTTTCAGATTTTTTTCAGTCAAGAATTCATTCCAGTACATAAATCTTCATATTTATTACTATATTGATAAATCAACCATTTTATTTGAATGAGTATCCCCATACACAGCCCATCCACCTTCCAGATTATTTGAGTAAGTGCCCCCATGCATGACCCCTCCACTTATCACATTATTTAAATAACTGCTCCCATGTATGGCCCCTCCACTTACCACATTATTTGAGTAAGTGCCCCCATGTATGGCCCCTGCACCTTCCAGATTATTTGAGTAAGTGCCCCCATGCATGGCCCCTCCACCTTCCAAATTATTGATTAAGTGTCCCCCCAGCACAACCTCTCCACTTACCACATTATTTGAGTAAGTGCCCCCATGCATGGCCCCTCCACTTACCACATTATTTGAGTAAGTGCCCTCATGCATGGCCCCTCCACCTTCCATATTATTGATTAAGTGCCTCCCCCCCCAGCACAACCTCTCCATTTACCACATTATTTGAGTAAGTGCCCCCATGCATGGCCCCTCCACTTACCACATTATTTGAGTAAGTGCCCCCATCCAATTACCACATTATTTGAGAAAGTACCCCCATGCATGGCCCCTCCACTTACCACATTGTTTGAGTAAGTGCCCTCCTGAGATGTAGGGTACATGATATAGAAATCTTTACACTCAGCACTGTCAGCATTGTCATGCCCACTTCCCCAGTTATGTCCTACAAAATATAAAGATAAATGTATATACACGTAATATTTTGCCTATGCCTTGTGATAATGAAAACCTTGCAATTTTTGAATTAGTTCCTTAAATGATGACCTTTGAACTGACAAGAAAAAAGAAATACATTCAAGAAGGACGTTTCAGTTTGTAACTCATTCTAATGCACTTGTCAATTTGTAACAAATTCTGAAGCACTTGTCAGTGTTGAAATATTCCTATGATACTGTACTTTACATCTATTTCCATTATTTCAAACTTCAATAAATGCTTTAGTCAGTGTAAAGAAGCAAGATCATTACTCTTCTCCTAGTTACAATTATTTGTTAAAGAAATGATGTAGAACCAGGTATATTAATTTTTACAATTTCATGTTGAAGTAATGAGAAATAGAATGTTATTGTACATGTACATTAAAATGTAACTATAAAAGTGTTTTTCTTCACATCAAAAAATCTCACCTCATTACAGAGTATATTTCTAAATCTTTAGCTGATTAATTTTGTTACAAGTTATCAGTTTCTACAACAGACTATATAATGGAGTCAAATATATTTGTATCACCAACTGAAACAATTGAAGCTGTAAATGACATCTATACAAAACAACTGACAGTAACATGACTTTTGTTTGATTAATTGTACTCACCCAGTTCTTTATTTGTTATCGAACAGCAACATGAAATGAAAAATGAATAAAAACAATATAAGTTTATCAATATTCATATAAAAATCACCAGTATACAAAATGTACCAAAATTGGTATCAATTGATGAAAACCTGTAAAAACGCTGTCCTTTCAAAAGTGATCCCATATAACAATTTACAACAAATATATTTCAATTTCTACTCATTTTTGACTCAAAGAAACAACCAGTTGTTGCTTGTTTTATATAAAACCAAGTTAACATTTGTCTCATCCATGATTTCAAGTTTTGTGAGGGGAGATAACTCTTACACAATTTTAAAGGTTACACCAATGAAACATCTACATTGAATTGGGCATTACCAGGTTATCAATTTTAAAATAGGAAGCATTGAACAAAAATGATAAAAATAGAAACATGATAGAGTTTAAATCACTGTGGCAATGTTTTCACAGGCAATTTTCATGGGGTCAGATTATTTCTTGTTGCATTTTGACTGTGAATCTATCTGCACTTGATCTATCAGAGCTGTTGTTTGCAGCAGAGTCTCTAATGCAATTTTGATGTGTTCACTATACATGTTAACAATTTACTTGATACTTTGGAGTACAGCCTTACCGTGAGCAGTGGTGATGGTTGACTGTAGAGTTAACACTGTGTTCCCTGCTCTGTTCCTCAAACTGGTCAGACCAGTGTTTCCTGCTATCTTATAATCTGTAATGGTCGATATAACAATGAAATATCTGGGCTGTGTCACTAACCAACCTAAATATGTTTCCTCTAAAAGCATGTAGATTTAAGTAATATAACTTTAGGAGAACACAATTAAGAAATTTAATGACAAAAGAAAGCTAATTACCTGAACAGAATAGCTTAGATTATCACTAATATACATATAATGGGCCATGAGATTTTTGGCAAGTCAACATATGCTTTTTTAAAGTGCTTAATGAAATAAACATATATTAGTTTCAATTATAGAAGCCAAGCTTGAAGGAAATCAATTTTGGCCAGATTATACTTTTGTATCGTAGTAAAAGCTTTTTAACTGAAAATGTAAAATTTATTTGAAGATGTCTTTTTGAAATAATTTATCCTTCATACAATGTACTGGCCTACTATAAAATCCTATACATAGCTGTCATTAGTCCTGGAATCTTCAGGATAGCCCCGAGAAATTGTATAATTGAGTCACAATCCCTGATTTGGCAAGTTCTTATATCCAGATCAAATTTACCCCAGATTTCAGTAGCCATCCCTGATTTAACCCCATAAAATCACAAACATCCTACAGCATGACCATTTGTGCCTAAACTGAGATGATTGATGCCCATGCAGTGTTTACATGTATGAGTTCAAAAAGTTAACTTATTGTTCAAGGTTCTTATTCATCAAATTTGATATTTATAGACATTTGATTTTGTTGATATATAGCTCAACAATCTACTGTAACAATTTATGGACACATGTGGATTTCATGTACTCACAAATTCAACCCATTAAATCCCCTGTGCAAGAAAACCAATAATTTTTGCATTACCGTAATTTGTAGGAGAACACATGCCGCCAAATTCACCACTTCTCCACGATGCAACATAGGCGAGACCAAGGCCTTGCTGGAAGGATGAGGATGTAAACAAATGGACGAGACAGGCACTGTTCAGGAAAAACTCAGCACTAAAATCCTACAATCATAGCAAAGGCAAAAATCACTGTTATAAAAACAAATGTACATATCAGATAAATCAAAATGTCTTTTGTAAGTTAACAATCTTTTTTAACCATTTGAATAAAAGAGTTGAGTCAAACAAAATTACATTTACAACATTTCAATCTGATTTTGAGTAAATTGCAATAAATTATCCAATGTGTAGATAAATGATTAAAAATATATAAATAAAGCAATTTATCGAATTTATCAACCCTCATTCATTGTGTAACAGAGGGCGATATTTACTCTTATTAATGCCTTTGTCAGGATTAAAACCTGAAACCTCTTACTAGTCTGACACTCAAGCGATTGTGCTATAACCACAAATTCTCTTTCTCCAAGCTGTTTAATGCAGCTATATTACTTACCAGGGCTACACTGGTGAAGTTTATTTCTACTTACAATGAGTATTACCTGCCTAGAGATAGGATATATTTAAAACTTGCTTACATCTAATGTTTCTTCCATATTTGTCTGTCGGTTAGCCTGGTTGTAATGCTTTCCCTCTGAAGGTTCAATGTGGATGATTATCTGAAAAACAAAGACATCATAATCAACCGTTACAAACAAATATTTGTGAAATGAAATCAACACAATATATGTAAACCATAACTTACCTGAGTCATCTGAATAAACCCCAAAGGTAACTTCCAGAGGTCACCAAACAAGGTCATAAAAAGTCATAGGATTTTGATAACCGAAATCATATGAACAAGGCACTGAAGGTCACTTATAGAGGTCACATGACAAAGGCACAGAAGGTCACTTATAGAGGTCACATGAACAAGCTACAGAAGGTCACTTACAGAGGTCACATGACAAAGGCACAGAAGGTCACTTACAGAGGTCACATGAACAAGCCACAGAAGGTCACTCATAGAGGTCACATGAACAAGGTACTGAAGGTCATTTATAGAGGTCACATGACAAAGGCACAGAAGGTCACTTATAGAGGTCACATGAACAAGCTACAGAAGGCCACTTACAGAACAAGCCACAGAAGGTCACTCATAGAGGTCATATCAAGAAGTTGCAGAAGGTTGTTAACAAGTCCTACATGGTCAATTACAGAGGTCACAAAAACAAACCAAAAGCAACCAAAAGAGGTCACATGAAAAAGATATAATGTTCTTTGTTTTGGTGGACAAAATTACATCTTCAATAAAAAAAATGGAATTTTTCAAATGTTGTTTTAAAATGCAGAATATTGTTTCAAAATCGATAACATGAAATGTTACCTTGCTAATTTCAAATCCAAGTCCACTAACGCCGGAGTCATCTGGCCACCTGGTAGCTTTATATATTGTATTGACTCTGTCCAATACACCAATCTAGAAATAGTAGATGAAATCTCAGTAAAAAGTATAGAAAAGATTTAATTAAATAACATACAGTGTCTACTCATTAAGATACTGAATATGTTCTTTGCTTTTTATCAGTACCCAACAGATCATACAATAAGTCAGATTTAGTGCATGTATTGGATATACTTTTATAACTATGATTTTCATTAATGAAATTAAATTGTCAAAAAACTGAATATTAGATACTATCTTTTTCATTATTGACTGACAACAACAGAATAAAGCAGATAAATACTCTGTATCTTTACCATGTAGTTTTGAGTGGCAAGAATGGAACTGTGGCCTATATGCTTATGAAAATAATGGTCTGCTACCAAAATAATCCGACAGTATTTACGATTCCCAAAATCAACAGCTCGCTTCCGACGACTCTGACCTAAAGGAAAATCAGATATAATGTACAACCTTTTGATCATAGAGTGATCGATGAACATTTTAACAAAAATCTTGTATTATCATCACAATTACTCTTTTGATTTAAAGTGTGTTTGTATTAAATGTAGTTTGGTTAGAGTGAAGGTGATTGTATTATTGAGAGGTTCACATATTCATGGTTTCAAAATAAAAAAAAAATTTAAGTGATGCATTTTTTCACAGAAATTACAAAATAAAAAATGATATCCTATATAAGTTCTATTTTCAAATGTCTATTTCTTTGAATGTATTTTTATACAATTCTTGAAAATAGTTAAAAATTACATAACCTCAGTCATCTTGAATGGGGCTGCAGGTTTCTAAATGTTTATGACATTATGTATACTTCAACAATCATGTTTACCTTTCTCCTCTTGATTCTGTTGCAAATCTGCTGTGGATGTATTTCTCTGGTGTTTGCACGAAGTCTTCAGTTTACTAAAATGATAATATGATTTTACAGACACCTGTAAATATGTTATACAAGTATATTTATTAAAAAAAATCCTAAATATTTTTTTTTTTTGTAATTGATATGAAACCATTCATGTTGACATGGAAGACTTTATTGTTTTGATAGTATTGACATGTTGACTATCAAGAAATCAAAAAAAAACCTGATAATGTCTAACAATGTTACACCTGTCGTGGTTTATCAGTAGCTGAGTGATATACAGTATTTCTGTATCAGGGTACATGTAGTGCTGTCCATTTATTAATGAGGTGATAATGAGGTACCATTAACACTGCTACTGATGTTGATACATTTTCTTAAAATCAACATGTTTTTTATCTGTTTATTTATTTGTTTATTGAATGTACCTTTGGCAAAACAATGATACCTATAAAAGCTTAGACAGAACAAGTATTTGGTCCTTACCCTGTTAGCCCGTCCCAGGGATCCTGTGCCACTTTCAGATCAGACTTTCTATAGACTATCAATGTGTGATTGTGGGCAGCTGATGCATATCTACCGGCAGGCTAGATAAAATTGAAGAATTATGGTTTGAGAAAACAAGGTCTTAAAAATTTGAAAAGTGAAGTACAAGAAGGGAGGTAACTGGGTATCTACTTGCTGGCGAGCAAACCAGATGGCAGAATTATAATTTTACAAAACAAAGTCTTAAATTTGTCCAGCTTGTTACAAGAATGAAAGTAACTGTACTTCTGCGCAGTCTAGTAGGTGAACAGCAGAATAATAGATTAACAACATAAAGTCTTATACTTCTGCTATGAACAAAAAGGGAAATAACTCATTAAATGGATTCCTGATAAAATATTTATTTATATATTTATATACAATAGAAATGTCTTTTACAAGTTTCAAATAAATCGTCAATCTAAATTTAAAAACTGAGGAAAATTTCACACAAATGAAACTTTTTACTATATAAATTATAGTTTTTATATCTATGATGTTTACTGTTTATAATTAAAGGTTTCAACGACGAAGTGTCAAGACTGTAATGAAACAAACAAATGTAGTTTTTAAAACAACGCTTTTCACTTGTTTTTTTTTTTTTTTTTTGTAGTTTTTTTTTCTTCTTACAAATAATGTTACAAATATTTTGGATTTGTTAAAAAATCTACTTTATAGCTTCAGATTCAACGTCCAGCCAGCGTGAAAAGATCCGACAAATACAAACCTCGACAAAATAGACCTCATCAGCAGTGACAATACTAGCTGTTGGTACACCATCCTCCCAGTATACATTGGCTAGTGTATCCTCCTCACCTGGATAATATACAACATAATTCCTTAGTAAACATCTGACTAGAAAACCTCCTCACCTGGATAATATACAACATAATTCCTTAGTAAACATCAGCCTAGAAAAACACATCACAATCAGGCATTCATACAGAAATCAGACATAAAATCCTGCCACTTATATTATGCCAGCGGAGCCAAAAAAAGAATGTTCTGCTGGCTAAGTGTATACTGACTGTAATAAGGGGCAACACTGACCATTCTTTAAACATTTTAACATTTTCAAGAATAGTGATAATACTTCTTATTTAATGTCTTTAACAAAACCTGATTTTCACTGCATTTGTTACCAAATATAATCTTTATGAAAAAAAAACCCTTTTGCAACATAATTATTATCAAAAGGATCATCAAATGAAAAATGTGATTCCAGATTGAAGATTTCTCAAAGGGAAATAACCCTTCAGAGAAACCTAACAGCATGCTACAAGGGGTCAGATAGATAACAACTGACAACAAGTTGTACTTTATTTGATAATTTATTTACCAAGATAAGAGTTGTTTGATTAAATCCCAATATCGATAACAACAAGACACTAGTGAGATATCACCAAAATCTGGAATTTAAATGTAGGTGAGCTTACTGTTGGATCAATTACATAATCAATTAGGCCTCAGGTCAAAGGTGAAACATCTTATAATCAATAAAATCATTACTGGTGATCAAACACCGCAAAAATTCTCTAAAAAATCTCACCATGTAGTGTTCCTGAGTAGAAATCATAAGAATTGCTATGAACATTTTGACTAGATCCATTTCTGTGGATTAACGTAGTATGAAAGTCGTGGGATAAAATCATGGATTTCTTCATAGACAAATGGAACTGTCTGAAAAGCCAAGAATACAGAAATAATGGATTTCAATGGCCTATGAATTATATACAATTGTCAATATTCAGTCCCACAAATAGTTTCTAACTCTGGATTTTTTGTTAGCTTTAGTTTCTTCAAGTTTTCCATAAATTTATATCTCCTTGACATGTTTCTCATATTTTCTGATTGCTACATTTACATTCCTTGCATATCAGAAAAAAAATATTTATGATATTCATGTTTGACTACAATCAAATGTGAAAACTGTTTCAAAATTGTTCATTATTCCATGAGGAAAAAAAATCTTTTGAAACTATTAAGTGATATACTCAATGGCTAAAATTAAATACTTACTTTCCAAATGCAGTTATCCATACTTGATGAAAATCATTTGTATTTTCTGGGTCAACATAACGTTTTGTTCTATGTCTCACATCATGGGAATGTAAAACCTCAAAATAATGCAGAGAAGCTGTCAATTTATCTGTAGAAAGAACAACAGAGTATGTACTAAAACTCAATTGATTTGCTCCAGAGTTTGTATTATCAAATTTGCTTAATTTTGGTGTCTTTGTACATGTCATCAAACTGTAATAAAATATGAATATTTTTATTTTCAAAACAGGTTTTGTTCACTTGGATTCACAAAATTACTCATTTACTTGAAAATTTATAATGACGGCTATAGTTTAATAAAACATACCGTGAAATTCAACAAGTGGGAAGAAATATATTTTAGTAATTCACTACTACATTTATTCAAATTCAGATTAATAATTATTTAAAGAAAAGTTTGCACATTCATTATTCCATATATTTGCATAGTTTGTGTGAAAGTCATAATTTATTATGTTGGGTCTTTTCCTCTATTTTTTTCAGTTAATATAATTCTTGTAAAACAAAAAATCATTTACGGTGTATTGCATATTTAAGATATCTAATTGTTATAAAGCCAACAAGCTTGACAAAATTGACGACACTTGCCATTGTCAAAGGCAATCATTATGCTGTGTGTCATATTATTTCTCTTTTTTGTAGATCATTACATCCAGGGATATATCATACTACAGGAACCTATTGTATCATACTTCCCTGTTTCATCAGGTCATTTTTATAATGTTTATATATTTTGAGTCCAATTGTGTTTCATGAAATAATTCTGATATTAGCATGTAGATGAATTCTCAATGTGCATGTGTCTGTCTGATTTAGAATATACAAGATTTTAGACGTATGTTGATGTACAATTATATATATCATACATATAATTAGATAGTCATCTGTCTTTTATATATTCTTTACAACTCCATTCCGGTATATTGGAATTTTTTTTTTGTTAAATTGAATCATAAATAACCCAATACACACTAGTGACTAGATACAAGGGTTGTATGTATACATTGAACCACCAGTTTGAGCGCTTAACATAGCTGTGTACAATACATATCACACGCATGAGTAGACACCTGGAACTCAAGTGTAATGTTAATTGTGAAGTTTAAAATTAGGTAGGGCAACACCATATCTCACTAGTCAGATCAGAGCTACATAATTGTTTTCTCTCACGCGATAATTTTAGCCTAAGATTGAAAAGATGTTTATGCTTAGCTATTGAAAGAGATAAATAGCAAACCTATCTCCGTCTTAAAATCTAACTGAACATTAGCTACTTTCTGGCATAAAATACTTACCATCTTGTAAATCCTCAGACTGGACACAGGGAACTTCAAAAACAAGAAAGAGTGTGATAAATACAGAAAGTACACAGAAGGAGCAGAAATTAGGTGTAGAATCCATGGATAGGCCCATATGTTAGTTCCCGGTTCATTGCTGTCTGCTCGGGGAAAACCCGTCTATTGACATATGTACAGTAAACTGAAACTAAGAGGAAGTATCAAATCATAGGTAACACATTAAACGGCGGTCATTAAAGTTCCGGATCTGATGGACAGTTTTCTATCTAATAAATTTAGAACAACACTACCATATTCAGATATCTTTGATAAGAAATATGACTACTTGTATTTAAAAATTGATTCAGGAGAAGTATAAATATATAGATAGATATTTATGAAATGGTAGAACCCTACCCTCCAATCTATACCGTACAAAAAGTGCTGTATTAAGCATGTTGTACATTCAACACCGATTTAGAAACTACGCATCGAAGGGTGTGGAAACCTTTTCATTGTGCGTGAGAAAGCATTTTTCACGTATCCACATGATTAAATAAATTAATCTGTCTATAAAACAATGATTTCATTAAATAAACATGCTAGTGATCACAAACTATATACCTATATTACCGATTTATCATAATAAACACAATGCGTCATTTTCTTGATTTCATGCCGCTTCGCCAAAATAATTTTCAAATCTGTGATATAGGGGACTACACATGTAGCTTTCAAAGGAAAAACACTACCTTTGCTTATAATTGTTTCTGGTCTAACAAAAAGTTCAGTATATTTGTTTTAAGGTATAAAACATAATATTTTGCAACAGCCCATTGATAGATCTATCTACTTTAAAATTGGTCTTTTATTTGAAAAGCAACAAATACCAAAATGGATTCTATCAAGAATTTGTGCAAAATCTACTTGTAAATCCGATCCAAGAAAGTTGGGCCCTTTTTAACTTAATCAACAAAAACCTAGAGTTCTGTCCATTTTCTAATCTTACCTTGCAACATCGCTCCTGATAGGAAAATTGAACTTTGCAATAAATGTGAATTAAACAAAAAACTGAAATGTTGAAAAACGAATCAGAAATCAGCAGAACTGGTATCAGATAAAACAGACAGACTGTCGGAATGAAGGCAATGGAGCATACAGCGAAAGCCTATCCGTAATTGAGGGTCTGTTCACGAGAGATTGATCAGCTGGATGTAATACATCACTACATTCTTCCACACGAAGCAGTGCAGCACACACAACCAACCTCAAACTCCATCAGGAAAGTTCACGAATGTTTGAGGACGGGTATCGCTATAGGACGTTCATCACATTTCAATCTGAAACACGTGCTGACAAAAATACACCACTGTCATAGTATTACAACCGCCAAAACTTATCTTAGATAATAAAATGCTTACAAATACTATGACCTTCGATCAAGACAGAAACATTAAGTTATCATGGTTATGCTTGGGGCGCCTTTCACGCACAGATACATGCATACATGCGCATTTTTCCAATACATCAATCAATTAAATCAAACGTACACATGAACATATTAATACCAACATACATAATTCATTCATTTTTAAAGTCATTTGAACACGTATTAAATCATTAAAAGTTCAGTTATTCCGGCTTGTGATCGTATAGTTTCATATCCAGTTCATTAGACAGGAACACAGATTTCCGCGGGTAAATCTTTTATCAGTGAAAATTCATAGTTAATATTATCAAGCACTATAGGACCGCGACATGTAAAAGTGTTGTGATAATTAATCCACTTTTACAGTAAATTGTGTCCTTTGTTTGCACTAGGATCCCGCCATAAATTATACATTGTAAGACACGACCAAGTTCGTTCGACATGCAAGTATCATTTTACAACATACACAACATATACAACATACACAATATACACAATATACACAACATACACTATATACACAACATACACAACATACACAACATACACAACATACACTATATACACAACATACACAATATACACAATATACACAATATACACAACATATACAATATACACAACATACACAACATACACAACATACACAATATACACAACATACACAATATACACAACATACACAATATACACAACATACACAACATACACAACATACACAACATACACTATATACACAACATACACAACATACACAATATACACAACATACACAACATACACAACATACACAACATAAACAACATACACAACACCACAATATACACAACATACACAATATACACAACATACACAACATACACAATATACACAACATACACAACATACACAACATACACAACATACACAACATACACAACATACACAACATACACAACATACACAACATACACAACATACACAATATACATAATATACACAACATACACAACATACACAATATACACAACATATACAACATACACAACATACACAATATACACAACATACACTATATACACAACATACACAACATACACAACATACACAACATACACTATATACACAACATACACAATATACACAATATACACAATATACACAACATATACAATATACACAACATACACAACATACACAACATACACAATATACACAACATACACAATATACACAACATACACAACATACACAACATACACAATATACACAACATAAACAACATACACAACATACACAATATACACAACATACACAACACCACAATATACACAACATACACAATATACACAACATACACAACATACACAATATACACAACATAATACACAATATACACAACATACACTATATACACAATATACACAACATACACTATATACACAATATACACAACATACACAACATACACAACATACACAACATACACTATATACACAATATACACAACATACACAACATACACAATATACACAACATACACTATATACACAACATACACAACATACACAACATACAAAACATACACAACATACACTATATACACAACATACACAACATACACAATATACACAACATACACAACATACACAATATACACCACATACACAACATACACAATATACACAACATACACTATATACACAATATACACAACATACACTTTATACACAACATACACAACATACACAACATACACTATATACACAACATACACAACATACACAATATACACAACATACACAACATACACAATATACACAACATACACTATATACACAACATACACAACATACACAACATACACTATATACACAACATACACAACATACACAACATACACAACATACACTATATACACAGCATACACAACATACACAATATACACAACATACGCTATATACACAACACCACAATATACACAACATACACAATATACACAACATACACAACATACACAACACCACAATATACACAACATACACAATATACACATTATACACAACATACACAACATACACAACACCACAATATACACAACATACACAACATACACAATATACACAACATACACAACATACACAACATACACAATATACACAACATACACAACATACACAACATACACTATATACACAACATACACAACATACACAATATACACAACATACACAATATACACAATATACACAACATACACAACATACACAACATACAAAATATACACAACATTCACTATATACACAACATACACAACATACACAACATACACAATATACACAACATACACAATATACACAACATACACAACATACACAATATACACAACAAACACAACAAACACAACATACACAATATACACAACATACACAACATACACAATATACACAACATACACAACATACACAATATACACAACAAACACAACATACACAATATACACAACATACACAACATACACAATATACACAACATATACAACATACACAACATACACAATATACACAACATACACAATATACACAACATACACAACATACACAACATACACAATATACACAACAAACACAACATACACAATATACACAACATACACAACATACACAATATACACAACATACACAATATACACAACATACACAATATACACAATATACACAACATACACAATATACACAACATACACAACATACACAATATACACTATATACACAACATACACAATATACACAACATACACAACATACACAACATACACAATATACACAACATACACTATATACACAACATACACAATATACACAACATACATAATATACACAACATACACTATATTCACAACATACACAACATACACAATATACACAACATACACAATATACACAATATACACAATATACAGTCACACGATTAGTTTTGTTAGATAAAACATCCCGGGAAAATCAAACGTTTAAAAGTATAAACAGATAATAAAGCATTCAAGGTATTACTGCACCGTAACGCTATCACTTAACACAGATCCTTTCATATAGTAAAGTTTGGATATTCAGTATACCTTTTTTTCCATTCCACTCATGTACATCAAAGAAGGTAACACTCGAGATTTACAGTTCCTGACGTTTTATCGACCCAAGAATCTTCCGATACCATCGACGTGTTGTCGTCGTCATTGCCTGTTGATTTGGACTACCGACATGACAGACCCTTTGGGTTGGTGGTCAGTGTAGCTTTCGTGCGGTTCTGGCCCGGACACTCTACCCGACTGTTTTCTTTCAATCCAAACCATAGACATTGCAATATTTTCGAAGCCTTAATCGAAAACAGTACAAAACAGTGCAAAACAAAACAACGCCACAAATTATACTTGGGTAAACTCAGATAGGAATACTTGGGGTCATAGGTTCTAACTCTAAACTTTGAGTTCATTTAATAGTTTGTCAAGGGGTACTCCTTTCATTGGGTTTAATTTCCTAAAGATATCTAGCTTACCGAATTTGGGGAATTTGCTCAAAATCGGTTCCCATAGTTTAGCAGCACCATATTCATACATCCTTAGAAAAGTTTGCATTGTTCTAGAAAGATTATATTTACTTTCAAAATGATAATATACAAGAATAGAAATAAGCCCACAAGTGGCAGAACACATTGTATCTAATGATAGTAATCCT